GCTGAGGCAGGAGAATTGCCTGAACCCAGGAGGCAGAGGTTGCGGTGAGCCGAGATCGCACCATTGCACTCCAGTCTGGGTAATGAGAGCGAAACTCCATCTCAAAAAAAAACTTTCACCAATTTCTTGGCTGCAAATTGTACCTCCTGGTTATCTTGCCTGTCTTTAATTATGTGTAAGGTTAAGCATCTTTTCATTTCATATATGAAGTCATTTGCACGTTTTTCTATGTAGCCTATTCAGTCTGACACTATTTCATGTGTTGCAAATATATTTCCTAGTTTATCATTTTAAAAATATTTTAGAAAAATGTGGGGCAAAAAGTATTTTCTAGATAACCAAAGTCTTATCAGAAAATTCAGCACACCACATTACTTCACTCCTTTAGCTTGAATAATAATAGTAAAAAAATCTGAATAGGCAAACAAAATTTAATATAGTTTATTCCCTAGAGAGCTGGGTGGGCTGAATCTGGCTTCAGGGATGAGGGCATTAGCACCTTTATAGAAGGGCAGGATGTGATTTTGCCTCGGATCCAGTCTTGGAGTAAGATAATAAATGATATTTTGATGACATAACTTGACTATAGGTTGTATCAGATCATGTTGTTAATTTTGTGATAATGGCAATGTGGTTGTAAATTTAGGAAAATATCCCTATTTGGGGGTATATTAAATGAATGGACAGATGGATGGAATGTCACAATTCCTTCAATTGTCTTTAAATTGACTTCAGAATTTACTTTAAAATACTAGTTTTGCTTTGATGAACATATATTTATCTTTTGCTACTGCAGGAAGGGAAAAAGCAAATTTGACAATAGGTTAGCAACTGTTCAATCTAGATGATGAGTCTATTGTTCTTCAATATATAATCTTCTCTACTTTCCACAATGTTTGGAAAAAAAATTTTTTTTTGAGATGGGAGTTTCGCTCGTTGCCCAAGTTGGAGTGCAATGGCACAATCTTGCTCACTGCAACCCCACCTCCCAGGTTCAAGAGATTCTCCTGCCTCAGACCCCCAAGTAGCTGGAATTACAGGTGTCCACCACCACGCTCAGCTAATTTTTATTTTTAGTAGAGATGAGGTTTCACCATGTTGGTCAGGCTGGTCTCAAACTCCTGACCTCAGGTGATACACCTGCCTTGGCCTCCCAGAGTGCTGGGATTACAGGCGTGAGCCACTGCCCAGGTGAAATTTTTAATAACCTCCCCCCATCCCAAAGATGAAAGACTTTTTGTTTAAACACCAGAATCAGCTAACTTTAGGAAAAAGGCTCAAATTGAATCAAGAATTTAAAGATAAGAGCTTCTTGGGAATGTTTACTTAATACCATATTAAAAATAATACAGAATCTCTATCTTTAGAAGTAAATCCCCAAAAAGGAAAATAAGATATGCAAACCAGGCAGGTTTGGGGGAAATGGGAGTTCCTTTCAGTTCTATAATCTCACCAGCAGTGAAAACGGAGATTTTTACCTCATCAGTAAAATCCTGTGTTTATGTAACTATACTTACATAACGAACTAGAAAGTAAAATTTAAGGCCTTAAATTTTACATGTTTTTGTGGAGTCTTTTCCTGAGTCCCCTTTGTCCCCATTGAGATAACATCCCCATTCTGTACTGAAATGAAAGCAGGAGAAACCAAATGACTTGTGTTCTCAGAGCCAGTGCAACTAGAATCGAAATGTCTTTAGCCTGGATTGATGAATTTCAAAATGTGCTTCTAAGAGCCCTGGAGGCTGTTACAGCAAGAAGCCACAAGCTTCTGACTTAGAATTAGCAGTGGCAGAAATGCTCCTTTTTATCAGAATGCTTCCTTTTTGCTTTCCTATTTAAAACAAGCTGAGTTACTGAGTGGTAACCATGGTTCATTAAAGGCATGGAGAAACTTCAGGATATTGTTTTAAAAGACAAAACTTTCTAGTCAGTGACAAGTGGGGTAAGCGTAGTCCTTGATGTCAGAAGAAATTCTGAATGACAGCAGGCTAACAAGATTGAAACTCTTCATAGCAGATTATGCTTTCTTGTAGCAGTGGAAAATTCGTAATCTCATTTAAAAATAACATGCATGCTATGCCCTTCATTATCACAAATAATTATCTTTTATTTCACAGCAGCAGGAAGGGGAAAGCATGACGTTCGACCCTAGACTGGATCACGAAGGAATCTGTTGTATAGAATGTAGGCGGAGCTACACCCACTGCCAGAAGATCTGTGAACCCCTGGGGGGCTACTACCCATGGCCTTATAATTATCAGGGCTGCCGTTCAGCCTGCAGAGTCATCATGCCATGTAGCTGGTGGGTGGCCCGTATCTTGGGCATGGTGTGAAATCACTTCATGTATCATGTACTGTAAAGTAAGAACTAGCTGAAGAGACAACCAAAGCAGCATAAGGCATGTTGATGCCAGTGGGACCACCAAGTATTTTTACACTCAACCTGAGCGGCTATTCTTGAAAATCTTAACAGAATTTTTCTCAACTGTTTTCCAGAACTTTAGTATGTGCAAATGTACTGAAAGGGTAGTTCAAGTCTAAACTGCCATAACCCCTTTATTAAATGTTACTTTTTACTTGCTTTGCGTTGCCATAAGTCTTCCTTGCTTGTATCTTCAAACCTATTTTAAATAAACATGAAGAATTATTTACAATTTGTCAAAAATCTCAATTGTACACTTGAGCTCCTTTTGTCGTGAAAATAACTCATTATTTGTACAGAATTCCTCAATTGTTCTTAATCTTTTTTGTTCTTCCTCTTGTAAACATGCCCCCACAATTTCCAGATAAAAACATACATTAGCAAAAAGGAAAGGATATATAATGGAATCTACCTAAAAGTGAACATTTTTAGCCTCAGTGTGGAAGCTCATGGGGAATTATTTGAGTGCACTGGCATGTGACCCGTGTTAACAGTCACCTCCAGGAAAAGAGCACTAGGATAAAGAAAAATGCAGTCCAAGATAAATCAGACTTTTGGGGAGGACAGACTTTATTGACATTCTGAAAAGCAGGTCTTCACACCTTTCCCAATCTGTTTTCAGTAAGTGGTCACTGGGCATGAAGAAGCATAATGATTTTTACCTTTGTAGTACAAATCAGGCTGCTGCTGTAGTCCAATTACCAAATAAGTTACTCTCCTAGTAACAGAGCTGACAGTGTTGCTTGGCAGATACAGCTGAGGAGGAATAGCTTATTTATGTATAATGACATAAAGTAAGTCTCTCAGGAACAAGGACTGTCTTTAGAAACTGAAATATTAGATCAAGAAGATGAGCAGGTATTTCATATTTGTGACATTTCAGTTTTGCATCCCACAGTTCAAGAGATAAACCACCTTCCTAAGGAAAATAAAAGTAAGTTTTCCAAAACGCAGGATTCTGAGATGACAGAAAGGTCATGATACCACGATCTCACTACACTCTCATATTCAGATACATCTTATTATTGTGTATTCCACAGTAAACCCCTAATACTGGTGTTTTCCAATTAAAGTCTATAAAATGATAAAGAATTTTAAAACCCTGTTTTAGATGAACACTCAGACCCCTCCATTTAATTAAATATATAGCAAACGTAGGTCTCTGAAGAAAAGAGGAAAGACACCATAATGACATGCAACGGTCGCACTGTTCTCAGAAAGCACCTACTAACTGCAGTTACGAATTTTACGTCTGGTCTTTAAAACTGTTGTTATTCTATTAACTAAACATATAATGTGCCAATGGCTCTGCATACCATCTCCCACCCCCATGGCTCAGCAACCTGTACTGGGTTCTAAAAAGAAAGAAAATTATTTAGTGATCCCAGCCCAGAAGAGCGTATGGTCTTACGAGAGATACAGATAATCAGGATTCAGCACACCACAGCCTTGATAAAGATGGAGGCAATGGGCTTCTTGGAGAATGCCTACTCTCTATATTTTCAAGGATGAGCAGGAGTTAGCTAAGTGAAGGTGACAGAGGATTTGCATTCCAGGCAGAGGGAGTTTGAGTAAGACCTGAGATGTGAAGCTGTATGGTACAAGCAGGGAAACAGCATTCAGATCAGGGTAGGAAATATCAAGATGGAATTGTAGGCAGAAGCTTTAAGTGGCATGCCAATTTGGGGATTTTGTGTGTCTGTGTATAGAAAATAGGGAACCAATGAAAAGTTGCAGGCCAAGGAGGGAGCTGGTTAAGTTTTCACCTTAAATGAATCCCCCTTGGCAGCTTCCCAGGTGAAAACTGAGCAGGTGCCATACAGGCCCAAGAGGCATCTTAATAAGGACAGCAGGTCATAAGGGAATGTTCCCTTTTGAAAAGAGGCTCCCTTTCAACGCTTCTTAGATGAAAATATAGGAGGTGGGTAATTTAATTCTAATAGGTAAGGGGATTATGCTGTGTGGAACGTCACTAAATACCCAAGGACATCAATTTAACAGAAAAAAATTAGGATGATTTAAGGAGGAAAAATTCAAGGTTGGATTAAGGATAGGAATGACAAAGGAGACTTAAATTGTATTTAAGGATGAAGATAAGGGTCTACTTTGAAAGAGAAGTGGACAGATGAGCATTCAATAAAGGAAGAGAGAACAGGGAAGAATTACAAACTTCTTGACAACGTGGTACTGATTTCCCAAATTACCTTTAACCAGGCCAGTCTAAACGTTGCAAATATAGTCCAGTTTGCTGTGCTGAATCTTGACTGAAATATCAGTATGTGTGTATAGACATATATGTACTGCTGGTACTTTATTACAGATACTCATTTAATCCTCAGAGGTGGTACAAACCAATCCTGATGGAACATCTCAAGTTAAGATTTCAAGGTCCTAGTTTGACTCCGAATGGAAGTAAAGACGTGACAGCTGCCGTTTAGTCAGCACATGGAAAATGTTTTCTTTTTGTTTTCTGGCTGCAAAAACTTGTGTTTTTACACCTCCTCTTCTACCACCACCACAAATAACCATGATACTAAAAAAGTAGATATACTAAGAATAATCACTTAACCCCATCAAGTTTCTTATATCAGATTTTATTATACTGAAATACAAGCTACATTTTTACAAAATAGAAATTCTTTGGGTGGATTGACTTATTTCTGGATAAGCTAAATATGCTGATTTGTTTTATGAACATGTATTTTATAAAAATGGTCACAATATATTTTTGAAGTTGATTTATTGAGGGAGTCGGAGGGAGTTGACAAAAGTCTACATGCATAGACAGTCCTAAAAGTATATCTCAAACATGAAGATGTAAATTTGAGAGTTAATGATACAAATTGCAGCAAAAACATTTTACAGGCAGAGAGTGTTTTGGTGTTTATAAAAGAAAGCTGAAGTCCTTCTTAAGGGCTTTTGTACATATATGCATGCTCATATACTATATGCATATATAGGTGTGCTTCATTTTGAGAAAGTCCAATATAATTCTAGCATTAAATGTACAAAACAGGTTTGTGTTGACTGACTGAAGAACTCACCACAGGTTTTACTTCAACTGCCTACATTCAAAAGTATTCAATTTACAATTTTTAGGTACTTACTGTGTAAGTAAGTACATCTATACATAAATACTTTTATGCATATATAATCTAAACATAGCAAATAGCTGAAGCTATTTTCTAAGGTGTTTGGCTTAGTGAACCTTTTTTTACATCTTAATAGTTTTAAAATCAATTATATAGGAGTCAGTCTTTATTAGGGTGTATGTTATCACAAAGGGATAAAAATCAGTAATGGGACTGGAAATAGTATACCCACTAAGTTATATTAAGTCATTGGTTGAAAACACCAAATTATTCAAAACCATCTGTTTTAAGAGATACACCCCACTTTAAATTCCCTCTTAGTAATTTACAGATGTTGTGTTTTGTATTCCTCTTCTCACCTTTGTGCCTGCTCCTTTGCAAAAATTCTCTTCACACCAAATTCTTAAAACTCAATCAGAACCATAGAAAATCCAACCCCTTTTCTCTCTTCTGCACATGACTACAAAAATTCTAATAGTAACAAGATAGTTTGAAAGAAATACCTCTATATACTTTTTACTAGCATTGTATTTGCAAACTTACTTGAAATCACTTTTTTTAAAAAGCAGGATCTCTATGGCTTCCTGTCCTTCCGGGTTCCTTCTAAGGTACAAATTATTTAATTGCTAAGAATTTTATTTTCAGTTGTCTATATTTCATCAGCCTAATTAGCCATCTTTTATACTAAATTTGCTGTATGCTAAGTCGAAGACCTATCATAAACTAGAGCAAAAACTTTTTCTTAGGAGGACTAATGCTGTTAAAGGCAAGTGGTTTCGTTTCAATTAAAACTCTATTCCTGCCTGTTGTTACTGAGTTAACTCTAAAAAATTAAGTAGTAAAAAATATCTCCATGGGATGTGCCCTACCACAAACTACTCTGCCTATTCAACCAGCACCATAATTTTTAACATTCACTTAGCACCTATGTGTAATTAAACAGGCATCATCTGAGAACAATCCAGTTGCTAAATAGTATCTCATTATTAATTAGTATATGCCATGGCTCTATTTCTCTGCTCAGTTCTAGTAATATTTTAGCAGCGACAAAATAGTGTCTAGCCCAAATATTTTCATTTTGCTTCACTTTGATTGAAACAAACATTTGATTTTCTTTCATCATGTGCTGTCACACAGTGACATGGATTCAATAACTTAATCATAATGACCCCCAAGGTTCTAATCAAAGAAGAAAAAAAGGATCGGCTAGCATCTCTCATCTACCTTTTAATTTCTACGTTGAGAGAGAAACAAAACCTTCAAAGGAGCAAGCTCCCAAGTAGCTTTTCCTCTTCTTTAAACTTTATTGGAAATAAGGCATTAGAGGTGATTAGTGCTAATCTCACTTCCGTTTTCTTTACTCGTTGACATCACTGTATTCTACATGCAGTCCTCCAGGTCACCTGCTTCAAAACCATCAGTTCCTTAAAAACAAAGATTTACTGGATCCTCTACCAAAGGTACGAATTCAAAATCTCTGGAGTAATGAAGGTCTACATTTTTAAAAACAAGCTTCCCAGGTGAGGGTTACTCACCAATAAGCTTAAAAATGATTACCCTATATATTATACAAAGTATCTGCCCAATATTAATTTTAGCTGTCTGAAGGTCAGCAGAGGATTAGGGTAAATCAGCTAAGCATAGTGGCTCATGTCTGCAATCCCAGCACTTTGGGAAGCGAAAGGCAAGAGGATTACTTGAGGTCAGGAGTTAAGAGAGCAGCCTGGGCAACAGAGCAAGACCCTGTCTCTACAAAAAAAGTAAAAAAAAAAAAAAAAAAATATATATATATATATATATATATATATATATATATATATATATATATTTTAAATTAGCTTAGTGTACTAGTAGTGTAGTCCCAGCTACTTGGGAGGCTGAGGCAGGAGCATCACTTGATTCCAAGAGTTGGAGATTACAGTGAGCTATAACTGAGCTGTGTGCCTGGACAACAGAGCAAGATCCTGCCTCAAAAAAAAAAAAAAAAAACTAGGATAAATAGATTTTAAGAGAGAGTCTATACCAATTATCTAAGTGAGTTACACTAAAAACCTGTTATGAAGAAAAGAGTATATGAGATGACGGCACTCTGGAAAAAGTGTATTTATAAAACCAAAGATTTGGACTTCATATTATTTAAGATCCATTCCAGCCCTAAAATCCTGACTTAATTTTTGTCTCCTCATATTGACAGGGGATGGAATGCAAATATGTTTGCATTCCAGAGAATAAGAAGTTCCAAAGTTACCTCTAGTCTTGGCAGATGGCCCATAAAAACATGATCTGTTGATCTGACTTTAACAACTCTAAAATAAAATCCTATGCTATGCGTATTCCTAAGTCCCTGCTCACAGCCGGTCATTCTTCAATCTTGCCTTGGTACTTATTCTGCTGTAATTGTATTTATATGCCAGAACAAGAAATAGTTTGGCTAAACCAAGATTAAACAAACATTTGCTATTACCTATATACTTTAATGTGTTAAGGAAGAAAAGGGCAGAAATAAGTTAAGTATTCAGACTGAAGGTTTCCAATATGCTCATTAAGTCATATATCGTAACTCAAATTCACATCAATACCATCAAGGTATTCAGAATAAAACAGCACTGCAATCCTTGTTAGATGTATAAATTTGTCTCCTTTCTAAAATCAAGTGCTCACATTTATAGTAATTCCAGTGACTGAAAAAAAAAAGAAAACGTGTACTGATACAGCTACACTTTTAAAAAATGATGTACCTTCTAATTTAAAGTGTCAATTTCACATATTTTTCCCCCTATTTCCTAAGTGCAATAAAATGACAGTGAAGAAATAAAAACAAACATTACCCCTCAAGGACAAAAAGCATGCAAGAGTTGGTATTGGACTCCCTAAGGGCAAAACTGGGCTTTGGGGATTCCAGAAAACAAAATGGTAAAATGCCTTCAAAATGCTGAGGAAACATTCTTTTCAACGTCAATTTGTACAGCCAACCAAACTATCACTCAATGTATGCTCAAGTATAAAGATAAGATAAAGACAATTTCACTCCCGTAAGAGATCAGGTATACACAACCTGCCCCTGCCAATCCACCTAGATGCTTACTTTGAAAGCTACTGGAGGATAAGCTTCAGCAAAATGAAAGCAGAAACAGAATGGTGAGGGAAAGTATACCCAGATTACTGCAGAGATTGAGATTTTGGGGGTTGGGAGAATGGTTGCTAAAAAAAATTTTCCACAGTTGCCTGAGGATTGGGGTGGAGGGGAGAGCAGAAGACTAACGCTTTTTATTGTAAACCCTTTAGTACTATTTCTTTATATGTACATAGCTATTAAAATTTAAAAAAAATTAAATGACAACTGGTAACATTTTGAAAACAGAGAACAGGATTTCAAATTAAGCTGGGACAAACCCTGGCCCAAGCCACCACCTTACTCTTATTACCTGCAAGGCCCTACATGACCTCTGTCCTCCCCTTTCCCCTTTCACTTAATCAATTAACTCCACTCCATGCTCACAGTGCTCAAGCTACACAGCCTCCTCAGCTTGCCACAAACACATCAGGAACATTCCTGCATTGGGGTCTTCACATGTGGCATTCCTGTGGCTTGGTGAGCTTTCTCTAGAAACTGCACTGCTTACTCCTTCACTTCCTTCAAGTCTGTATTCAAATATCACTTGCTTAGTCAGTTGATCACCTGTATCAAATTTTAACTGCCTACTGTACACTCTTCTGTTAACATCATTTAACATAAATTTTGCTTCTTCCCCCCACCACAAGCTAAGCTCCATGGAGAGAGGGAACTTTGTTTACCTATTCCCTAGTTCAGTGTCTGACACACATTTGGCAATCAATGAGTATTTGCTGAGTGAATAAATGAATGAGTGGATGTCATGAACCAAGTTCTTTTTCAGTTACCTATATCATTCTATTACATACCTTAAAGTAAAAGTTCACTCAAAGGAAAAGTATATACCTTTTGACAGCAAAGACTTCAAGGGCCTCAAGGGTGTTAATACTGTTTAAAAATAAAGTATATAACCCTCATCAAAGAGGGTTTTCTACTATCCAGTATCTCAAAATTTCTTTGGGGATTCCAGAAAACAAAATGGACTGGTAAGCAATTCAAACTTTTGTCTCCAAAGACTGGTCTGCTTATAAATTGACTCACTGTTGGTTTACCGATTGCTCCATATGTTCAAGCCTAATTCCATGCCTGTCTTTTAAGATGTGGCTTCCCCTGTACTCTACCCAAGACACTTGGGCTCAAGATTTTTTATGAAAGGAGGGCCAACATAGTTAGAAACTAAACTTCAGTGCATTCAATTCAAAACAAACAAACAAAAACTGCTGGGCACAGTGGCTGATACCTAAAACTCTTTGAGAGGCCAAGGTGGGAGGATTGCTTGAGCCCAGGAGATGGAGGCTGCAGTGAGCTGTGACTGTGCCACTACATTCCAGCCTGGGCAAAGAGGAAGACCTTATCTCAAAATAAATAAATAAATAAGGAAATAAAAACCAGGATGCCCCTCCACAGTATCTCAAAATTAAGTAGCAAAACAAGAAGTATTTGGACAAAATCCCACTGGTTTTTATTAGTTACATAACTGTTACTACCTCTAAAAATGTAGGTAAAATTTGCTCTCATGGCTGTGGCTTAAAAACACACTTAAAAATTACAATCCTGTCAGAAACACTGGTGCATGCCTATAGTCTCAGCTACTTAGGAGGCAGAGGCAAGAAGATCACTTGAGCCCTGGGCTTTGAGGCTATGATGCACAATTATCACACCTGTGAACAGCCACTGCACTCCAGCCGGAGCAACATAGCAAAACCCCATCTTTTGGAAAACAAATTGCTATTCTATTTACATTGACAAATGAATGATAAACTTTAAGGGCTTGATACTTTTTAAAAACCCCAATTTAAAAAACTATAGTTTAGGATGAAGTAACTTCCAGTATCTGAGTACATACCACGTGAAAGGCACAGTGCTATGTATCAAAGATCCAAAGCTTAAGTAACACTAACTGACCAAAACACACAAGGTAAAACAAACACAGCTGCAATTAACCCTAAAACATGTGACACCACTAGAGGTGTCATAACAGAGGCATAAACAAGGTGCCTCCACATCACAACTAGAGTTGCAATGCATTTCAGTAGAGGGCATGGTGCAGGGAATCTCATAAGAGTACTGATATTCTAATTGAGGTCTCACAGAATGAATGTAAGAAAATAAGGGCATCTGTGTAGTGGGAAGACCATGAGCAAATCCATCCAATTTCGAGAGCCTAGTCTATAGGTACCAGGTGTTACACATACAAAGATGGAAGCCAGTCCCCACCTCCCAAGAAGCTCAGTCACATGGGGGAAGAAATGAATCAACTGTAATGTACTAATCTGACAAACAAGGAATAGATCAGCACTCTCAAGCATGCTCATGACCCACTGCGGTTTTGGTATGACTCCATCAAAGGATCCAATGATGTTTCAGCCATAAGCAAATAACCCAATCCAATGCCACAAATGTCAGTAACAGAGCAGCAAAAGATGAGACAGCTTTCCTGGAGGTAGTATACAAACTCAGTTTTGACACATTAGTAGGAAACTGGAGATGCCCAGGAGGGGCAGAAGGAGGAATGAAAACACATGACATATTCAGATACAGCAGAGATCTGAACACTAAAAACAAAGAATATGCAACAGAAATTCTAAGTGCCCTTTACAGAAAAAGTCTGACTATGCCTAGAAGATTCTTGTGTGGCTGGGAGCTTTAGTACACAGCAAAGCAGTGACAAGAGATGAGGCTGAAAATTTTGGCTGGGGTTGAATTCTGAAAATTCTTGAATAGCAGGTAAATGGCAGACTCACTCTCCTTTAAAGAATTCCAACACTCAACAGGACTGAGGTGGAAAAATAAATCAAGGACTTTATATTTAAGCAGCATTTATTGATCACATAATTTGAGTTAGGACTTAAGTTGTTAAATCCTCACAATCCTGAGGGTTAATTATCATCCAGTGTTATAAATAAGAAAAAAGTTGAGATAAGTCACTTGCCTTCAAAACACAATTATGAAAGTATCAGAACTGGGAGTGTAAGAGTCTGGATTTGTAAGTTACTACTTCCATTACAAAACAGCTGTCTCTGTGGTAAAGTGTAATATTTTTTAAGTCAACTGTTCTGCAATAGCAAAATAATGATAATAAAGTCAAGGAAATGCATTCAATTTCTTAAGCATGTTTCACGCCCACTGGATATATATCCTTAGCCTAAGCTCATTACTTATGAATGTGTTCACTTTTAGTCAATTCAAGCCACAGGAAAAGTTTAGAGAACAGATAATCAGTAAAAAGTGGTAGTTGTGGGGAGAACTCCCAGCTGAGTATGAGCCCATATTAATATCCATACAGTTATATCTGTTCCACACTGATCCATTTGGGGCAAGAAGAATGAGACTGATGAACTGACTCTTATAAAAACATCTATCAGCTTCTTTTCACTGATGGAAATAACAAGACAATTTGTGGTTTATAAACAACGTGATTTTATACCCTCTATTTTTTTTTAACAAATCCTAATAGTCTTTTACCTTCTGTTTTGAGCTTTGAAATTAAAATGAAAATCAGAGAACTTCTGAAGGAAGTCCCTTAACATTCTACATATAGTTTATATTTTCTGCCACTTTATAAAGTGCTGCCAAAAATAATTACATAAAATTATTAAAATTAAAAACTTTTCATAAACTCTTATGCTCTCCAAAGTACAGATTTTATAAATTACACTAACAATTGTTAACTAGCTGATATACTTTTCCTTTGAGAGAATTCCAAATCTTGAAGACTGAACTTAAAATACAAAAAAGCTTCTCTAGGATTTACACCTTCCAGCCTGAGATCATCTGACATTATCTGTAACATGAAGCACTGCTCTCTGCACTTCACACACATGGATACATAATTCTAAAACCCTCAGACCAAATATGTTTATGAATTCAGAATTTTGGATTTTAGAAGATAATGCAATATAGACCATTTATAGTTCTCCTTTACCCATAGTTTTGCTTTCCACAATTTCAGTGACCCATAGTCAACTGTTGTCCAAATTTTCACATAAATTTCACTACAGTATATTGTATTATTCTTTTATGATTAATATCTTAACTGTACCTAATTTATAAACTTTATCATAGGCATATATGTATAGGAAAAAACGTACTATATACAGTATTCAGTATTATTTATAAAAAAATAAATAATAATTGTTTATTATTTAGGTTTTGGGGGTCTTAGAATGTAACTGCCACAGATAACGGGCAACTGCTGTATTCTGTAACAATTTAGGCAGGATCAGTGCTAGCATTCTATAATTAAACATACTAATATTTCTGCAGCAAAATGTGACTATTCATATCATAAATTCATGTCGGGTTTTATGCCACTTGTCATACAGATGGACAAAAAACAAAATATTTTGAGCCTTTTGGATTAAGAAGTAATTGTAGAGTTATATAAATTCATTCAACTCATAAGTGAGCATGAGGCACGAGGTGGATTCTTTGTATCATCTCCTTTATATAGACGCAAAACTGAGGTGCAGAGACATTAAGTACCTATGCATTGTCACATACCTAGTAAGCAATGTAGCCAGGATGATCCCAAACAGGATGGCTTCAGAGTCCATGCATCTAACCTCTAAGCATACTGTCTTTTCATGTACTTAACAAAAGGATCAAATATGTATTAACAGCATGTGCAATTGTTTATTATTTAGAGCTTTGGTGGATGCACTGTAGCATATGGTTTTTTAAATTTATTTTTATTTTTTTATTGCATTTTAGGTTTTGGGGTACATGTGCAGAACATGCAAGATAGTTGCATAGGTATACACGTGGCAGTGTGATTTGCTGCCTTCCTCCCTTTCACCCACATCTGGCATTTCTCCCCATGCTAACATATGGTTTTTTTAAAAAACTGTATATAGGCATTAAGGACTGTTTTCTTAACTCCTTCTAATAAACTAAAAATCACCTGTAGGTAAATAGTAGTGTTTTTGAAACATCTTTTTGTATAAGTGAATTCTTTAATTATAGGAAAAAATAAAGCCAGTGATATAGGTAGAAGTCTTGATGAAAAAATAAGAAAAAAATCCAAATGTGAAGGCACGGCATGCATTTAAAAGACTCCAGACAAGCCAATATTAAAAAAATAAATAAATAAATGTGTATATATATATAACGCTAACATGGTTAGAAAAAAGGAAGTAACCTGAATCATTCAAATTTTATGGAGAAATCAGTGATACACAAATCCTAACATGTCTCTAGGAATAAAATCTTGAAACAATCTCAGCATTTGTACAATGGAACTGGTATGAGAGCTCCCAAACTAAAGGAAAAAAAGAATTTCATTGGCATCATGTGCCAGTCTTCTTACACCTGCAATAGTTGTTAGAAGTATACTGTTTCTCTGTAACGATCTGATTTGAGAAAAACAGCACTCTCTCAAAAATCAGACTTCTTTGAATTACTTTCTGTATGAGGCAAGAGATTTGGATTCCTTATAAGCTTTCCTTCTTAAGAAAGTGAGGATCTCTAGGAATGTATCTTCCCAGCTCATATATAAGAATTAGTTCTTGGACAGGCGCAGTTGCTCACGCTTGTAATCCCAGCACTTTGGGAAGCTGAGGCAGGTGGATCACAAGGTCAGGAATTTGAGACCAGCCTGACCAACATGGTGAAACCCCGTCTCTACTAAAAATACAAAAATTAGCCAGGCATGGTGGCACTCACCTGTAATCTCAGCTACTCAGGAGGCTGAGGCAGAAGAATCGCTTGAACCCAGGAGGCAGAGGTTACAGTGAGCTAAGATCATGCCACTGCACTACAGCCTGGTTAACAGAGTGAGACTCTGCCTCAAACAAACAAACAAAAAAAAAGAGTTAGTTATTTAACTTGCATATTCTCTGCTTCATTTCCAGTCAGCTGATTTGGTAATAAAAATCATTTATTCCACACTTAGCTTACTGACCTGATCACAGGGTTGCAGTTGCCAAAAGCATGGGTAATGGAGTCTGACAGGCCTGGGTTACATCCCAGCTCAATTACTTACTAGTAGAGTGACTTGGGCAAAGAATTTCACTTTGACCCCATCTTTCTGATTTGCAATAATGGGATGCTATTGAGGGGCTATTAAAAATGAGACAGTGACACCCAGTCCATAAGAAACACTAGTACACAGTAACTACCACTATTTGCAGTAATGGGTTAGCACTGTATATGATTTTAGCTGATTTGGAGGGACAAATTTACTAAGGTAGGAAGTGAGGCTAAGAGATAAATTAATCTCAGAAACAAATCACAGGGATGGCTCCAAATAGTAACATTTGTAGGTAAATCATTATCTTCCCCACAAGTTTCCAAAATAAAACCTCTTGGTACGTGTAAAATGATCTTACAATTTTAAAAATGCACAGACGGAGAAAGGGGAAACCAGACCAAAAGAGATGATCTCTTTTATTTAAAACTACATATGACCCTTCCCTGCACAGAAATCAGCATTTTGTCCTTTTAGCTTTTGTCTACCTCAAGATGTACTTCCTTACAGCAAGTTACAAAGGGTAAGTGGCTCTAGTAACTAACAAAAACAAACATACCACCTAGAAACCTTCTACCTATTTTTGGAAATGTCAGTAAAGCTACAAATTCAGAGAGATGCACACCAATATGAACAGGAAAGATTCCAAAGAAATCTAATTGGCATTAGACTGATTAGATGGTAATTTGCAATTTTGCTCTGGGTCAGTGATATATCTCAGAGATCAGTAAATTAATATGTAGGAAAAGTGGGAAAGAATAGCCAAAAAATATTTAAGTACTGAACTAAATTAAAATTTCTATCTAAATTATTCATAATACCACAGTGGTATAGCTCTATTTTAAATATTTACTTGAAGTTCATGGTTGGGTGTGGTGGCTCACTCCTGTAATCCCAGCACTTTGGGATGCTAAGGCAGGCAGGTTAACTTGAGCCCAGGAGTTCAAAACCATTCGGGCACATGGTGAAATCCCATTTCTACAAAACAAAACAAAAATTAACCTGGTATGGTGGTGTATGCCTATAGTCCCAGCTATGTAGGAGGCTGAGATGGGAGAAATCATTTGAGCCTGAAAGGTGAAGGCTACTGTAATGAAAATGTGGGCCAGGCACAATGGCTTACACCTATAATCCCAGCAATTTGGGAAGCTGAGCCAATAGGATTACTTGAGCCCAGTAAGTAATCCTGTAGGAGTTGGAACCTATGGTGAGCCATGATTGCACCACTGCAGTCCAGCCTGGGTGACAGAGTAAGACTGGGTCTCTAAAAAAATTTTTTTAAAAAAGGAATGAATATGTTTTTAAAAACTAGAGTTACTAAGGCAAAGCATCCCCTTCTCCATTCTATTTCATTTGATTCCCTATAAAGAGAAAAAGTGTCAAGTGAAGTGCTAAAGACTCAGTTTGAAAGTTGGCAATCAACTCTGAATAGGTATTTAGATGTAAGATAGGAAATTATCAAAATTGACCTTGATGTTCCAAACTTGTGGTATAGATAATCTAAAGAGATTACAGAGTTCAAAGAAGCAGATTATTCTGTTCAAGATTCTTTGAAGACAGTGGGGTAATTCTGGAAAGTCATCATGGTGCAAATTATTATTATGGAAATCAGAAGAGATGAAGTCCCCAAGACCAAGACAGACACATATTCCAAGATGAATCTTAAAACGGAAAGGAAACACTAAGAGGAAAAAAAAATACACATTCTGAAGTAACAGAAGGCTAATTAGAGTCCTAAGAAAACCAAAATTTGAGAAATGAAAATTGGGTCTAGAAACAAAGATGAAACAATTAATGGCTACATTGAGATAGCAGAGGATAAGGATAGAGTTAAGGGGCTCTTAATCAGAATAAAGTTTCTTGTTTTAACTTTCTAGAGGCTTACAACCTTCCATTATCTAGAATGACTAAACAAAGCAGTACTTTAGAGTGGGATTCTTGGGCAGCAAGCTAGCCTACGTTTCAAAATTCCCTTGACCTATAAATCTAATGCATTTGACCAGGTGTGTTTTATAATGCTTTCAGTCATATGTTTTACAAATTCCCCTTAGATCAGCAAAATTCCAAATCCCACAACACTCAGCAAATCTAGCCAATAGGTAAGCATATTCTAGATAATACATCCTTTAAAAACAACCAAAAATAGTCATAGATTTTTATTTTATTTATTTACTTTTTTGAGACAGAGTCTCACTCTGTTGCCCAGCCTGGAGTGCAGTGGCATGATCTTGGCTCACTGCAACCTCTGCCTCCCAGGTTCAAGCAATTCCCCCTGCCTGTAGTGGGATTACAGGTGCCCACCACTATGTGTGGCTAATTTTTGTATTTTTAGTAGAGACGGGGTTTCACTATGTTGGCCAGGCTGGTCTTGAACTCCTGACCTCAGGTGATCTGCCTACCTTGGCCTCCCAAAGTGCTGGTATTACAAGCATGAGCTACTGCACCTGTTCAAAAACAGCTATTTTAATAGTGTCATTTTTAAGAAAGAAAAAGTTATTAAGTGGCAAAAATATGCTTCTTTATTTAAAATCATGGCCCTTTAATTACAACTCTAAGACTCTATGGATTAGCTATAAAGGAACTAAGAAAGGCCTAAACCTGTTGAAGATTATGAAGGTTGGCAATGATGGAAAACTTGCTAGAGCTAAGGATTCTTGTCTCTGGTGTAGTGCTGTACGTCCTCAACTATGCCTCTGAAACAATAGTCTTCCTCTTCATCTTAGGATTAATGGTACTGAGAAAATTTAACATACAGAATACAGAAGTCACTATCCTATTTCCCTAAGGAGAAAACTAGAAATCCATCCAAGCAAAAACTTAATTTTGTCTTTTCCTTCAGTGTTCAAGAACAAAAAAAGTATCTAGTAGCTCTAAATGGGCAGAAGGACAAGTGAAAACTCCAGAATGCTTCAACAAGCTAAAACAACAGGTTTGGGCACTATCTGGTATCACCCTACTGGAACTTTCCTTATTAACTCCCCTACATTCCACAACAAAGACTGGAAGGAAGGAGCTGAATTCCTACTGTTTTGGAAGCTGAAATGATGGCCCATTTGCCTCCCACTCCTGCTCTGAGGGTACAGAGTAGTGCCTTGCCATATAAATGTTAGTGACACCTAACAGAGCTGAGACCAACCTCTGGGGTATTACAGTTGAGAAAATTACGGTGAGAAAATAAAGTCAGATCTATAGGTCATCTGTAGCCTATACTTTGTAACAGCTTAGACTGTAAACAATTTTAATCACAGAACAATTTTCCTGTCTCAAAAGTGTATTTATAATGAGTTCAGCATTCAATCTTTCCACACTTCCTTCATGAATGTTAATTTTTTCCCTGCTACGTTTATAAGCTCTTTGCAGTTAACAATCATGTCTTTTACTTTCTGTATTCTCATGATATCTATATATTCTAGGCATTGAGTAAATACTAAACATATATACATTAATTTAGTCTCACAGTAGTTACCATAAACCATGAAACCAAAGTAATCATGGAGACATGACAACAGAGATTTTCTAATAAAGAAAAGACATACCAAAAAAACCCCACCAATGCTATAATTTCAGGAATTCTACTGTGGTGAAAGAAGCAAGTGGAATTGGGCTTTCCTAGAACCTTCTTTGCACCACCTTCACAGATTATCCTTGGTATAATTAAATTTGCATTGTGTTAAACTTAGATCTACGATTTATACAGAAAGTTGCAAGGTAAGAACCAAAATATCTCTGCAATTAAAATCACAGATTCTTCCCATTAAAAGAACTAAATGGGAATTCCCTGTGATAATTTCTCAAAGTTCACGTTAAAAACTTAAGAAAAAGGTAAATAAACCAAACATCTTCATAGAAAAATTGTATTTACAACTCCATTCAAAAGCAGTTTTTCAAAGCAAACACATTGTAACACTGAAGGTGAAAAATCTATGCTCACCCAAAGCTGCCAGGTCTAATAACTTACTGACAGAATACTACATCAAAAATAAGGCAATAACCCAAAATATAGCATTAAAGATTTCTCTATCCCCACAACTAGAGAGAATGAATCTAACTAGGAGCAAATGATACGCTTCATTCAGTTTCACTGTGTCTGAAATCCTTAAGGACAGATGTGATAAAATGTGATCTTCATTCTTCATTAGACTTGAACACTTAAAGGAAAATAATTTCTAAAGCACAAAGAGGTAAAGAGGTATAATCTTTCAAAAAGATATTCAGTGTTCAAAATTCAAGAATGCAATATCAATTCACAATGGGCATTAGGTGAATTATACACAATACAGTAGAGTAAATTAATTTATTTAGTACTTTTTCCATTCCATATCATCAGGAGGATTGATTTCAACTTTCCTTTTACCTACATCAGACCAGTTGGTACTCAAAACTGTACCACCAGACTCCATCTGCAATGAAAAATAAAAATACATTAATTCCCGGGCCATATAATCAAAATAGAATATTTTTCTAAAAATGTTCCAAGAACAGAGCCCCAAATATTGGCTACTATATATAGCTGAATATAAACTCCATGCAATACATGTGTTATACATAATAGATTACACACAGATAAAATATATAGCTCAATATAAACTCAAACCAGTATTTTTTTATCTTAGGCATTCCAGAGGTTAACAAGTTCCATAAAAATCTGAAAAGGAAATTCTAAAGTAGTCAGGGAGGTGCACCATATCTTCCTTTGTTAATCAGCATAGACATGTATGAGGAAAAACTACCTTCAAATGAAATATTAACTCCCAAAGACAATGATTACTGTAATCTCTTTTGCTTAAAACTGTAAAGACCAGTCAAAATAATCTCTTTCTACATCAGCTGAAGAGATTAAGGAGCTCCACTTTGTGCTGTCTTTGTGCCAAACACATGCAAGTTCACTGCGAAAATTTTTAAAAATCAAGACACACATATGCAGGTATAGAAAGTCAGTGTCTCAGTGAAGAATTGGTTATTTATTTACCATCTACTGAATCTACCACCCACCAAGCATATTCATTAATATATTAAAAAAAAAAACTTCTGGACTTCCTTAACATGATAAAAATCAATGGATTTGAACCACATAGAAGAATAGTGTAAATTATTAAAATATAAACATTTAAAAATAACCAACTGTGTTAGTGGCCAATGTATACAGTTACATATCCTGCACACTGAAACCTCAATGTAACTTCATGTCTGACATACTCTATTGCGTTCCCTTACATGGGCTTTTTTGCATGGCAGTTGTGACTTTACTTATCTTCCAAACATGAGATGTCACCACCTCTCTGTGGCTTTCTCTGACCTCTTATTTCTCTACTCCTAAAAACTTTGTCTTCTGTGTGAGCCTAATTAGCTAATTAACATGTGTCACACTGCATTGCTGCAATTTAAGGTTCTGTCTTCTACCTGCTTTCCACTTTTGATCTTCAACTAATGCTGAGAGCTCATTATAGGCAAGGAGTATATTTTACTAATATTCGTATCTTAGTTCTAAGTGCAGTGGCCTAGCACATAATGGGCTTTAAATAAAATGACTGAATTACATTTGACAAGTCTGTATAATAAACTACCTCAAGGCCAGGTATGTTGGCTCATGCCTGTAATCCCAGCACTTTAGGAGGCCGAGGCGGGTGGATCACCTGAGGTCAGGAGTTCAAGACCAACCAGCCTGGCCAACATGGTGAAACCCCATCTCTACTAAAACTACAAAAATTAGCCAGGCGTAGTGGCATGTGCCTGCAGTGCTAGCTACTCCAGAGGCTGAGTCACAAGAATCACTTGAGCTTCGGAGGCAGAGGGAGCAGTGAGCTGAGATTGCACCACTGCACTCCAGCCTGAGTAACAGTGTAAAACTCTCTCTCAAATAAACAGACAAATAAACAGACTACACCAAGAGGACCTTAACTTTTAAAACTGAAAAAAAAAAAAAAAAAAAAAAAAAAAAAGTGGACTTAGTTTACAATGTGACCATATTCTGATGACACTTATTTCCCACCCACCCGTACCATCTCTCCTCTCCTTATAGACTGTAGGGCAATTTAGCATTTTGCCTCTGATTTGTTTGTATATCTTGTTCTTTTGTCCCAGTTGGTTAAGGAGATTATAGAGAACAAGATATATTTAGTTTATTTCGTATTCCCATGACAGAAGCCCCTGGTATGTTCCAGATCAATGTTGCTGCCCAAATGGCTTACTTTATGGGTATACATAATTTGCTTATAATTATCAAAGTTTCTAGGTGAAAATGAGTGTAGATTCTACCTTTGATCTTTGATATGATTTGACATCTTTGATCTGATACATGGCTGATTTTGTTTACCATACTTTTAAAAGTCAAAAGTGAGAATGGGCCAGGTATAGTGGCTCACGCCTGTAATCTCAGCACTTTGGGAGGCTGACATGGGTGGATCACGAGGTCACAAGATCAAGACCATCCTGGCCAACATGGTGAAACCCCCATCTCTACTAAAAATATCAAAATTAGCTGGGCGTGGTGGCATGCACCCGTGGTCCCAGCTACTCAGGAGGCTGAGGCAGAAGAGTCACTTGAACCCAGGAAGCGGAGGTTGCAGTAAGTAGAGATTGTGCACTGCACTCCAGCCTGGCGATAGGGTAAGACTCCATCTCAAAAACAAAACAAAATAAAAAAACAAAAGTGAGAATGACTTCTCCTGGGAGGATTGAGTAGATGTACTTTTCCTATTCCTTCCACTAGTAAATCTAAATACCCTAGTCACTACATATGCAACAAAGGTAAAAAGGCTCTAAAAGGGGCCAGGTGCAGTGGCTCACACCTATAATCCCAGTACTTTGGGAGGACAAGGCAAGAGAATTGCTTAAGTCCAAGAGTTCAAGAATAGGCTGGGCAACATAGTGAGACCTTATCTCTACCAAATAGTAATAATAATAATAAATAAATAATAAGAAGAAAAACAGTCAGGTGTGGCGGTGCATGCCTATAGTGTCAGCTACTTGGGAGGCTCAGGTGGGAGGATCACTTGAGCTCAGGAATTCAAGGCTGCAGTGATTCATGATTGCACCACTGTATTCCACCTGGAACAACAGAGCAAGACCCTGTTTAGGATAAAAAAAAAAAAAGACACCAAAAGGTAAAGTGAAGACAGACCTACTAGAGACCCTGGGACTCAAGAAATGATGTGGTACCAAATTCTCTGGGTTTTCCTTTGCCTCCTATATCCTAGACTTGGAGCTGAAGTAGATGGAAACACCAAGTGGCACAAACAAACAAACAAAAGGCCCAACAAACCCCTGCTCTCTCTTGCCAAGAGATCAGGAAAAGGACACTGCCTAGGAAAACAAAAAACTTTCAGACAACAGGCCAAGCACGGTGGCTCATGCCTGTAATCTCAGCACTTTGCGAGTTCAGCACTGGAGGACTGCTTGAGCTCAGAAGTTCAAGAGCAGCCTGGGCAATATGGGGAGACCTCGTTTCTACAAAAAAATTAAAAAATTAACTGAACTTGGTGGTGCACGCCTGTGATCCCAGCTACTCAGGAGGATCACTCGAGCTCAAGTGGCCAAGGCTGCACTGAGCCACGATCGCACCACTGCACTCCACCCTAGGTGACAGAGAGGGACCCCATCTCAAAAGTGAATGAATAAACAGAAATAGATCATAGAAATGTACATCTTAAGAACCTAGGAAAATAAAAACAAAGTGCACCTAAAGCAAGTAGAAGGGAGAAAATTATAAAAACAAAAATGAATGAAATGTAGAACAAAAAAAATGGAGAAAAAATGAAACAGAGCTAACTGGGAGAAAAAAATTCAATAAAATAAGCAAATCTAGCCAATGTGTAAGCATATACTAGATAATGTGTCCTTCAAACCTCTAGCAAGACTAACAAAGAAAAAACAGAAGACATAAATTACCATTTTAAGAATGGTAAAAATATCACTATAAACCCTGCAGACATCAAAAGAGTAAGGAAGGCCAGGCATGGTGGCTCATGCCTGTAATCCCAGCACTTTGGGAGGCCAAGGCAGGCAGATTGCTTGGGCTCAGAAGTTACAGACCAGCAAAACCGCATCACTACAAAAAATAAAATAAAATAAAAATAAAGTAGGCTGGACATGGCAGCGCATGCCTGTAGTGCCAGCCACTGGAGAGGCCGAGAAGGGAGGATCACTTGAGTCTGGGAAGTTGAGGCTGCAGTGAGCTATGATTGCACTACTACACTCCAGCCTAGGTGACAGAGAATGCCCTGTCTCAAAAACAAAAGACAAAAACAAACAGAAAGAATAAGGGACTATACAAACACTGTCAACTTGGACAAAATGGATCAATCTCTTAGAAACACAAACCACGAATCATCCACCTGAAATAGTTATTTGAACAGTCCTATAAAAACTTCTAGGTTAACTAAATTTATAACTTTAAATCTCCTAATAAAGATATCTCCAGGACCAGATTGTTTCACTGGTGAGTTCTACCAAATACTTGAAAAAAAGTTAACACCAATTATACACAATATCTTCTAAAAAGTAGAAGAGAATAGAATGCTTCCAGGCTGGGCATGGTGGCTCAAGCCTGTAATCCTAGCACTTTGGGAGGCCAAGGCGGGTGGATCACGAGGTCAAGAGATCGAGACCATCCTGGTCAACATGGTGAAACCCCGTCTCTACCAAAAATACAAAAAATTAGCTGGGCATGGTGGCACGTGCCTGTAATCCCAGCTACTCAGGAGGCTGAGGCAGGAGAATTGCCCGAACCCAGGAGGCGGAGGTTGCGGTGAGCCGAGATCGCGCCATTGAACTCCAGCCTGGGTAACGAGAGTGAAACTCCATTTCAAAAAAAAAAGAATGCTTCCTAATTCATTTTATGAAGTATTACTCGGATGCCAAACCAAACAAAGATAGCACAAAAAAAGAAAATTATAGACTCAGATCCCTCATAGATACAATAACCCATAAAAAATATTAGAAAATGGCCGGGCACAGTGGCTCATGCCTGTAATCCCAGCACTTTGGGAGGCCGAGGTGGGCGGATCACGAGGTCAAGAGATCAAGACCATCTTGGCCATTATATATATATATTTTTTATTAGAAAACAGAACTGAGAGATATACAATATGACCAAGTAGGACTCATGCAAGGCTGTCTCAATACTTGCAAATCAATCATATTAATCAGATAAAATCACCGTATTAAGAGGCTAAGGAAGAAAAATCATATAATCATATCAGTCAACACCTACAAAACATTTGACAAAAAGTCAATGTTAAAAGTTAATTAAAAAATTTCAAAAAAATAGGAATACAACAGAACTTTCATAACTTAACAAAGATCATCTATAAAAAGACTTACGGTTAACGTAACGAAAGAAAAAATACTTTTCCCTTAAAATGGGAAACAAGGCAAGGATGTCCACTCTCACTACTCTTACTCAACACAGTGCTCAAGTTGCAGCCAGTGAAATACAGTAACAAATGGAGATAAAAGGCATACAGACAGAAAAGGAAGATGTAAAACTCTCCATATTTGCAAATGAAATAAAACTATCCATATTTGAAGATGATTGTCTACATTAAAAAAATGACAAATCTATCTGAAAATACTCCTAGAACTGAGTCCAGCAATGTCACAGAATACAAGATACACACAAAATTAACTGTATGCCTAGAGTCTAGTAATGAACACCAAAATTATATATATATACATCACTTTACTCTAAAATTTACATGGAATGACAAGTGAGTCAGAGTATCTAAAACCAATTGCGAAAATAAAGGATAAAGTAGGAGGAATGAGTCTACCCAATTTCAGACTTACAAAGCCAACAGTCCAAGACAGTGGGACTGACAGAGGAATAAACATATAGATCACACACAGCTCAATCCAACAGAATGGAGAACTTAGACTCACACAGATATGCTCAACTGATTTTTGAGAAAGGTGTGACAACAATTCACTGGAGAAAAGATAGGTGCTAGAACACTTGGACACACTATCCATCCCACAAAAAGGAATCTCAAGTTAAATCTCACACTTTACATAAAAATTAATTCAAAATGCATCACAGAATTAAATGTAATATGTGGGCCAGATGCTGTGGCTCATACCTGTAACCCTAGCACCTTAGAAGGCCAAGGCCAAAGGACTGCTCAAGGCCAGAAGTTGAGGACCAGGCTAGTTCTTCAAATTTTTTTGTAGAGAACTTCTGGTTCAGCAACACAGAGACACCCCCATCTCTACAAAAAAATTTGAAAAACTAGCCAGGCATGGCAGTATGTACCTGTAGTCCCAGCTACTTGGGAGGCTGAGGCATGAGGATCATTTGAGCCCAGAACTCTGAGGTTACAGTGAACTGTGACTGTACCACTGTACTCCAGAGTGGGTGACAGAATGAGACCCTGTCTCTAAATTAAAAATGTAATATGTAAAACAATATTACTTTTATTTATTTTTTAAATAGGAGAAAGTCTTTGAGACCTAGGACTAGGGAAAGAGTTAACAGACTTGAAACTAAAAGTATGATCCATAAAAACAACAACTGGTAAATTAGACTTCATCAGAATCAAATATTTTGGCTCTATGAAAGACCCTGTTAAGAAAATGAAAACTACAAACTGGGAGAAAATATTTGCAAACTACATATCTGACAAACATTTGCCAGATTTGTGATCATCAGGGATCATGGAAGAGTAGGGGTGGGGTTCGTGAGTATGGCTATAAAATAGCAACATGAGGCATCCTTGGAATGCATGAAAATGTTCTGTATCTCACTCTTTTTTTTGTAAGAGTTAGATTGAGCTGTATGTGATCTTCATGTATGTATATTCTCACTCTGCTGCCCAGGCTGAGTGCAGTGGCAGGATCACAGCTCATTGCAACCTTGAACTCCTGGGCTTAAAATCCTCCTGCCTCAGATTGCAGAGTAGCTAGGATGATAGGGGCAGGACTAGCTAGCTTTTACATTTTTGTAGAGACCAGATCTTACTATATTGCCCAGGCTGGTCTCAAATTCCTAGCCTCAAGGGATCCTGTGGTCTGACTCCCAAACCACTGGGATAGAAGGTATCAGCCACTGCATGAAGCCATTAACTGTCAATATCACGGTTGTGACATTGTACCATAGTTTTGACAAAATGTTTCCATCAGTGGAAACTTCGTAAAGGGTACAATGAATCTCATTTCTTATGATTGCATGTGAATCTACAATTATCTCAAAAATAAAAGTTTAATAAAAACTTTTTTCTTTTTTGGAGGTAGGGTGTCTGTTGCCCAGGCTGTAGTGCACTGGCACAAAAAAACAGTTCATGGCAACCTTGACCTCCCAGTTTCAAGAGATACTCCCACCTCACCTTCCCAAGTAGCTGGAACCACAAGCACATGCCACCAGAATTAGTTAATTTTTTTTTTTTGGTAGAGATAGGGTCTCTCTATGTTGCCCAGGCTGATCTCAAGATCTTTGGGCTCAAGCAATCCTCCTACCTCAGCCTCACACCTGTAATCCTAGCACTTTGGGAGGCTGAGGTGACTAGATGGCTTGAAGCCAGGGGTTTGAGGCTAGCCTCGGCAATGTGGCACAACCCATTTCTACAAAAAATAAAAAAAAATTAGCTAGGTGTGGTGATGCATGTCTATAGTCCCAGTTACTGGGGAAGCTGAGGTAGGAGGATCAGTTGAGCCCAGCAGACAGAAGCTGCAAAGAGCCAAGATCACACCACTGCACTCAAGCCAGGGCAACAGAGAGAGACCTTGTCTCTTAATAAATAAATAAACCATACAAAGCACAATCATGACCAACTACCACATATTTCTTAAGTGTGAAAAACCTGAGCATCGACCACATAAACTATTAAATTATTAAATACTAATTTTACCTTTCTACTGTAAATATGTCTTAAAAGAAAATGGTCATTATTTCCAGAGCTACTGGTATTAATAAAAGTCACATGATTACAACTGCAAGGTAATAATCTACACAGTTCTACAGTGACGAATTGTTACTAAAATCTTGAGGTCTAATTTATGTATTTATGCTGCCCTGAAAAAAGCCTAAATTTTCTTAAGAGAGTTGTTAAATTAATGAATAATGTGCATCTTCTACTTGCAAACACTCTTCTGGAAAGTTTCCCATCTATATTCTTCATCTCTAACAGTGAGACTACATACGATTCTAGAAGGGAAACAATAGAAGTTCACTCAGCTACTATGATAAAGCCAAGTAAGATGACTCCATATTAATCTAACTCACTGATTAAAAAAAAAATACCTACTTAGGATAAACCGCCTGTTTCTCATCTCTTCCATAAATTTTCAACTTCCTCAAAAATTATTCTTAGAGCAAAAAGAAACGTTCAGACAGACCTTATTCAAAAAGTTCTCCCAGCTATAGTACATGCAATTTGGTCTCACATTACCAATTTTCTCTTTTAAAATATGTAAAATTTGCTCCTATATACATTTCTTTAAGTTTATATTCTTACAAAGGATTTGTTCATGGCACGTTTCACTTCATCAGAACCATCTGAATAGATCTGCTGAAATAATTTGTTTAAGGCTGCATCTCCCTCCAACTTTTCATTCTTTTCTTCTTCTTTTATCTCACCAACCAATTTATCCCAATTTCTTGTATAAGGAGATGATGATGGATATAGGTTCTTTACATCTATGAAGTAAAAAGGCAGAAGTAATTAATCAACATGTTTCACTATGTCAGGAATACGTAAACTTTGTGACTATGTATATGGAACATCTTAGCAAACAGTTTAGGTTACTGAATTTCATGTATGCAATAAATGTCTTTCTGATATATACATCAATAACAAAATTCATGTTTCCAAAAACTGAGTCAGTTACCATAATGTAAAATCGGCGATTTCTTTTGAGCAAAATAACTCTTAAGTGTGAACTTTTGACATGTTATACAAAATTAGATTAAAAGCAGAATCTTCAAGTTGATAACAGGAAAAACTAGACAAAAAGTATACAGGAACTTTTATGTTTTCAGAAAAGTTGCAAAGATAGTACAAACAATTCTAAAAACGAAAGTTTTTTTAAAGGCTGCCTAAGAAATCTTTTGTAACTAAAATTTTAATAAACGTTAAAAATGTGACTTTTTCTAAAGTACTTATGTATCTTTCAGACTATAAACAACTTAAAAATAGAAATAATCATCCATGCCACTCCATACTCTCCCCACATCAAAAATGTAAAATTATTTCAATAGGCAGTAACAATAAGCAATTCCTGAATGTTTAAAGTATGACACTTGATGATCTAAAGTTCAATGCCCATATCCCATATACCAAGCAAATAACAGTATTTGTAAGGCACACTGGGGTAAACATAGGCTGCTTGCAGCCAGAGATGCTACTGGCCCACAGGCTCTGGGTACTGCCAAGACTGCATCAAAGACCAAGGGCATCAAGATTTTGGCACACAAATAATTAGAAAATAACTAGCCAACCTAGTAGCTATAGGAGCAGCTCTGGTCACTGTCCACTTAAAATATGACAGCCTCAAATGTCAGCCACATATATAATTATAAAATTTCTAGTAACTATATTACTAAAAAGAATCAGGTGAAATGCAGTCATATTTAACCTAATGTATCAAATATAGTATATTCTGACATGAAACCAAAGGGCTAGGCATGGAGGCTCACGTCTGTAATCTCAGCACTTTGAGAGGCCAAGGTGGGAGAATTACTTGAGGCCGGAAGTGTGAGACCAGCCTGGGCAAGATGGTGAGAGCCCATCTCTACGGGAAAAAAAAAAAAAAAAAAACAAACATTAGCTGGGCATGGTGGCACATGCTGCAGTCCCTGCTACTTGGAAGGCTGGGGTGGGAGAACTTCTTGAGTCCAGGAGGTCAAGGCTACACTGAGCCATGACAGTACCACTGCATTCCAGCCTGGGTGACAAAGCAAGACCTCCCCCACCTCTCAAAAAAAAAGAAACCAACAAAAAAAATGAAGATATTTTATATTCTTTTTTTCATACTAAGTTTTCAAACTGTGGCATATATTTCACATAGCACATCTCAATGCAGACTAGTCATACTTCAAGTGCTCAACAGGTACATGTAGCCAGCAACTACTATATTAGACAACAGAGCTATAGTTTTCAAAAAACCCAATTCAAAATTTCTCCATCTGTACTGTGTTAGGACACACAGATACTAATCTAAATGTTCCTCCCAATACCGCCCTCTACATCCCTTTTGTCAAAATAGCTGAGAAACTACTTAACATCCACCGTTTTTCCACCCTTTCCCTTCACTTGTAAACCAACTTTCTCCACGCTCATTCCTCTTCAAAACACAACACAACACAACACACACAACACCGCCACATAGATTTTTTCATGGTCAAATATATTATTTTGAAAATCCTATCCACCTTCCTTCAACTAGATATCCTTCTATCTTTGTACATTTTTACTAGTAGACAAAGAGAACAAAAAATGCATGCCATGGTAAGTTAAGAGCCTGGGAAACATGGATTTAATTAATCTTAATGCTGATTCCCAGGAAGAATGAGAATAGAGGTTTTAATCTCTATTTTATAGATAAGCAAGTTGGCCCAGATAGGTTAAGTGACTTGCCCTTATCTACTGTCTCCAGCTTGCAATACACAAGAATCTGACAAGCATATTGATTTCTTACAAAAACAGGACAGGAAGAATATCATCCTGAATATCTAAGGTGTTGAGTTTAGAAAAAACTTAACAACACTGAAAAAACATTTATTTTTAATCTCAGAAAAACTGTTAACACCTGGATATGGTAGAACTACTGAGAGATGAGTAATCTAACTTCCCTGCTCATTCACTATCATATCAAATAACCGCACAGATATTCACCTCAGCAAAGATTGTTTCCATTGTTACAAAATGCAACAACAAGCAGTACTCAAGGAGTAGAAAAGGGGTTAACAGAATAACTGGACCCAACTGAGCAGACCTAGGTTTTAGTCCTAGACAATGAGAACTGCTGGATAATCTTGAGCTTAACCTTTCTGAGCCTGTAAAATGGGAGGAATACTAAGGGACTGCCTGTTATACAGGGCTGTTAGAATTAAGTAAGATAATACATTTAAAGTGATTAAATTTTTTTAAAGTTTTAGCTACATATAAACCTCAGCCTAAAAATCTTGGAGTCAGTCCCAAGAGAAGCACATACATCTTTCAAATAAAGTGTGAGGCAGATGCTTAACTAAATACCAACTAGATATATTTCAGTCCTTAAAAAGTATGTTGGTGTTGATCTCCTGATTTTGAAACTTATACCATAGACTACTTAAGATGTAATCATTGGACTAGTTACAACACTATCACCGGGGGAAACTGAGTGAAAGTTACATGGGAATTTCTTATTTTTGTAACTTCTAAATATAAACTTATTTCTAAAGAAATAACTATTCATACACACAAAAATGATATGCTCGATAACTCAGTGTTTTCTAAAAGGTGCCAAAAGGAAATGTGTTTTCTGTTAAAGAAAGCAGTCAAAATCAGAAAAAAGTAGCTGAGATATGTATTAGCTCATTTCAGTCATTAAATCAGACCATTACTTCTAATAAAAAGAAATTTCCCTCCACTCATTAATAAGGCTATTGCTATAAAATTTAATCTTAGGTTGTAGTTCTGAGTGTGCTGTGAATGAGTCCAACAGAAAAATTCTTATCTAATCATTGCATATGCTTAAAATTGACCTCAACACAAAGTTCTGTTTGTTACAGGGTTATATATACAATGAATCCTGGTTTTCTACTCTTCTCCTAGACTTTCCTAAGGTATTCATTACCTATGTGTGTCCATCTCTAAACTGGCAATATGAAATGGGGTAGATACCTTACCCTGTGAAACCCTGAAAATTTCAGAAAGTTAGATGACAGTATCAGTAGAAGTAATAGAAAGGAATAAATAAGAGGGAGAGGGAAAAGGAGAAATATATCAGCAGAGTAAACCAAGTTACAACTCAAAAAGAAACAAGAAGAGCCAATACACAAAAATAAACATCCCCCAACTGATGTCATAAACTTTACATAGTAAACAATAAACCCCAACTCCCTCTGGGATTTTGCTGCCATTCATTTGTATTCTTAGAATTTGAGAAGTTAGAACTTTCACAGGAAGTCTACTTTATATTCATTACAGAGCAATCTTATTACATTCAATGTATCTTATCTTGGGATCATAAACAATGAAAGTAAAAAGCATGTTCATTACTATTTAATTTCAATTACACAACACGATATGAATATAAAGCTCATCAAGGCCAGAAAACAAACCTGCTATGAATTGTTTTGGCGTAGGCACATCTCCTTGCCCCTCTAGCTTTTCCCATCTCACAGCCTCTGGCTTTTTCAGTTTAATTTCAATCTGGAGAAAACACCAAATAAAATCCATTAGTCAATATAAAATACACAAAACAGTAAAAAATGCAGTTTTCTTAAGTTATCAAAAGTTTTGTAAGAATAGTATCTTTGACAGTTTCTTTAAATTATAAAAGGTTAAATTTGAAAAACTGAAACAATTTTGTTTCCACACTCAGAATTCACCCTTGGGAAAACAACATATGTACTCTATAAGCTACAATCAAGGAGAGACTTGAAATACATATGCCTTTTTTTCATCCAAAGCAGTGTTCTGAACCAAGAATGATTCTGCCCTCCAAGGGACATTTATTTAGCCATGTCTGGAGACACTGTGGGTTGTCATATTGGAGTGAGGGGAGAGGTGGTAATTACATCTAGTGAGTAGAGACTACAGTTGCTACTAAACATCCTACAGTGTACCAGGCAATCTTCCAAAATGTCAATAACACCGCTATTTAGAAATTTGATTCTAAAAGAATGACTGCATTTACATGTGCATTTTTTACACCTGTTTTACAGTGGAGAAACTTATTTCACTGTATAAACCTGTTTTACAGTGGAGAAACTTATTTCACTGTATAAACATAATACAACTAACATATTGGCAATCATTCATTCAACGAATAATTACTAAACACCTACTATGAGATAATATAGTCTTCAAGGCTGTGTGAGATTTTTATTTTATTTTTAGAGACAGGGACTTGCTATCTTCTAGGCTGGAGTGCAGCGGAAAGATCACAGCTCACTCCAACTTTTAACTCCTGGGCTCAAGTGATCCTCCAGCCACAGCTTCCCAAGTAGCTGGGACTACAGACATGTGTCACCACTCCTGGCAATTTTGTTTTTTAATTATTTGTTGAGACAGAGTCTAGGTTGCTCAGGCTGGTCTCAGGCTCCTGGCCTCAAGCCATTCTCCGACCTCAGCCTCCCAAAGTGCTAGGATTACAGAAATGAGCCACCATGCCTGGCTGGATTTTTAAAATATTAAATACATACCCTCAACCATTTGGAAGTATGTGAGATACTTTAAGAAAGTTACTAAAGTTCTAAATAAGTAAATGTTCTAAAAGCTCAGGAGAGACCACACCTGACTGTGAAGAGGAAAAGCTTTATAGACCTTGAAGGGCTTTGAAGGATAGACGTATTTGCAAGAGTAAAGGGGTAGGTCTCCAGAGGCACAGGGAATGGCCTAACCAAAGCAGTGGGGTATGAAAGGACACTACATCAGGGACTACCAAGAAGACTAAGTTCACTTATTAAAATGAAAAGTTAACAGTATCCTAATAGCATCTTTTACTCTCTAATCAAGGCTAGCCCTGAATCTATCCTTACCCCTAACACACAGACACGTAGTATTTTTATCTACCTTTTGTTTTCTTTATTCAAATAATGTTCTCACCTCTGTTTTTAACTGGTTAAAATCAGCATTTTTAGTCCAAATATTAAAGTAAGCACTGTAATAAACATTATATAAAATAGTTTAAATGAACTGAATTAGAATTATATATTCTAATGCTTTTTTCCCTATGAAAAGGATCACTATTTTTGTAAACAGAATTAAAAAGTCAAAAGGCAGACTTAAAAAGAGAAGTCTATTCACCCTTTGGTTCTTTGACTTCTTTTTATCGGATGACTCATTTGAACTAGCAATTCCTAGTAATCTTTATACCATCTGCATTTAGAAAGCACGTTAAAATACCTTAACAAACTGCTAACATAGGGAAATCTACCAATATTTTTAATCAGACATGAAGTGATGGTATATGTATCTGGGATATGGGGTCTCAAGTGTTTATTTTTATTTTCTTTAGGAGCAAAAAAACATAATAAAGAATTATTTTCATAAAAGAAAAATACGAAACAAATGTCAATGAGATAAGGTCAAAGAGTGGTAATCAGCACTTTGGGAGGCCAAGGCAGGCAGATCATCTGAGGTCAGGAGTTCAAGACCAGCCTGGCCAACATGGGGAAACCCCCATCTCTACTAAAAATACAAAAACTAAACAGGCATGGTGGCACATGCCTGGAGTCCCAGCTACTTGGGAGGCTGAGACAGAATTGCTTGAACCTGGGAGGCAGAGTCTGCAGTGAACTGAGATCATGCTGCTGCACTCCAGCCTGGGCAACAGAGTAAGACTCTGTCCAAAAAAAAAAAAGAAAGAAAAAGTATAGTATCTTTGATGTAATTTACATGTTTAAACTACACACATAAAAACATTATTTCATAAGAATCTCTAGAATTCCCTAAAGTGAACAATTAATTTTTTATAAAGTAATATCCACCACCAACATTTTCTCATATACAGTATTAAGTGATAGTATTTGGTTACTTTAAGTTGTCGCTGCTACAGTATTTATCAAAAGGGGACATAAATCCAACAGAAGGCAACGACACAGCAACAGTTACTAATAACTTAATTTTATCTGAAAAATTAAAATTGCATCTTGCTTAATTTTCAACTCATCTAAAAAAATGAGGGCCTGGAAAGTACTGTGTACACCACCACACTAAACTTGGCCACTGGCCCCTATATTCACACTTCACATTCCCGTAACTATGTATATACTGTCTATGAAAAGTTCCTTGTTTTACCTGAAGAGCAGCACAGAGTAGCATTCACATTTACTGAAAGGCACTATAACCTCAGTAACTGTGCAGTATGAACAAGAGAACTTTATAAAGCCAAAGGCAAAGCTCTTAGTAACAACCTGTTTCACCTGACACAAGCTGACCTCAACTTGAAATTATACTTAATCCATTCATTAAAATAACTACATGTAATAAACCATTTAAAGTAGCTTTTTAAAAAAGGTAAAAGGGACCAGGTGTGGTGGCTCACACCTGTAATCCTGGTGCTTTGGAAGGCTGAAGTGGGAGGATCACTTGAGCCCAAGAGATGGAGACTATTGAGCCATGATCACTCCAATACACTCCAGCATAAGCAAGAGGGAGACCCTTTCTCCCCCTCCACAAAAAAAAGTAAAAGGGAGGAACTAATTCCCTATTAATTCCTTTTTGCACTTAATTCACTTTCAATGTCTGTACATGCTTTTAAAAATGAAGTTTTAAGTCTTGATGATTCTAGCACATAGTTCCAGAATTAGCACCAGTACAATTTCAGAGGTTTTTATTGCAACCATTAACAAACCATTCTATTTTAAGTAAAAAATACATTAAAAGTAACTTAAAACTTTAGTAGATTGCTTGAATGTTACTCTCATATGTACAGGGAAAGTTTTCAAGGTGTTGATATCTCAAAAGAGTATTCACAGGTTATCCATAAGAATGCCTACTGTGCTGGATCATTAATTCTCAACATTATCATGTATTACCATTATTACCATCCACTTCTAAAGTTTCTTCTGCATAGCAGAGAGTTTAATTCTTTCCAATCAAAGAAACTTTAGATTTAACGAGATGTCATTACTCTTAAGCAAATCGTGATATCCAGACACCACTGTCTTAAGTGGTAATAAGATCACACTTACTGCTACAGACTGACATGAAGGCATCTTTCCCAGGGACTAAAGAGCTAGGGCAATTTATTGGCAAACTTTTGAGAACCATATACTTCAAGATTGTACTCATTAAATAACGGTTCCCCTGATCTTCAGAATACAGCCTTCCCAACATACTCTTACAGAGCTCTTTCCCAACATACTCTAACAGAGCTCTTTGCACATTTAATTGCATCGAATTCCTTTGTCTGGTAATAGCTCAGTCTTTGAGCCCAAACTAACACACCTACCTTGTTTCTACACTAAAGTATTTCTACAATCACTTTTTAAATGCAAAAAAAGGGCAATGAATGGAGAAGAACTGAAAGGTCTTCCCAGGCTTCTAACAGCTCATTTCAAATATTTGCCAAGTACCTACTTTGAACCAGAAACAGAGCTGGTACCTAAGGACACAACCTCTGTTCCTCTTAAAGTAATCAATCAGAAGAGACATTCCCATAAACAAAAAGATTCCAGTATGTGCCATGAGTAGTGACTGACCTATGTATCAGGAAACATCGAATTATCTGAAAGGAAACATGCTAGAATGTTACCTAACTGGTGAGTCTGAGTCATTACTTCCTAAGCTCCTTTATCTTTTCCAGACTTTCTATGACATGAACTTACTGCATTTACAGGTTGAATAAAAATCTAAATAATGAAAATAAAACACTAAGAATAGGCCAGGCGCGGCGGCTCACGCCTATAATCCCAGCACTTTGGGAGGCCGAGGTGGGCAGATCACAAGGTCAAGAGATCGAGACCATCCTGATCAACAAGGCGAAACCCCGTCTCTACTAAAAATACAAAATTTAGCTGGGCATGGTGGCGCGTGCCTGTAGTCCCAGCTACTCGGGAGGCTGAGGCAGGAGAATTGCTTGAACCCAGGAAGCGGAGGTTGCGGTGAGCTGAGATCGTGCCATTGCACTCCAGTCTGGGTTAACAACAGCGAAACTCCGTCTCAAAAAAAAAAAAAACAAAAAAACAAAAAACCACTAAGAATAGTACTAGAAACACTTATTGAGCTCTTATTAACCTGTGTGCTACATGCTTCATGTATATCATCTTACTTAATAGAATCACCCCATAAAAAAAGATTGTTATCCATATTTTAGAGATGAGAGAGCCAAGATATGAAATAATCTCCTGTAAGTGCCTTTTTTAGCCAAAATTTGTGCTTATTTCTGAGGAAATAAGCAGGGGTTGATAATAAGATAAAAATCAGTTGTATAATTAGTAGAGTCACAAATCGGTGCCATTCGTTGGATGTATGACCATAAGCAAGCAACTTAATCTCAGTGAGCCTCAGTTTCTCCTATAAAATGATACTAGGAGGCCCTGATTCATTTAGGGTTCTCAAAAAGATTAAATGACATTATGTATGAAAAGAATAAAGAACCGTGTCTGGCAAATAACAATAGAATGCTATTATCAGTATCCTCATCATTATAATCAGCTAAAAAACCTGGGCAAATTATTGAACATCTTTAAGTTCCTCTACCTGTAAACTGGGGATAAAAATACCTAGACCATCCAGTAACTGTAAGAATTACATGAGATAATACACAGTACAATGCCTGGCATGTGATACAACAGTCAAAACAGCTATTGTAATTCTCCACAGGTCAAATAAAATGGGACTGATTAAATAAGCTACAATATATGCATACACTGAAATACTTTGCTGTTGAATATGTAAGGGCATGACAAAAGTATCAACAAAGTGTAGCTGTTTAAAAATTATGTAGAGCAAAATTCTTCTTTCAAAAATACATGAATATACATTACAAAATATAGAAAAAAAGTACATTCCAAGATCTACAATTTGTGATTTTCAAAACTAATTCAATTAAAAAAAAAAGCAAACAAATCTCATTATTATCAACACCACTGTATCAAAAAAGCAAAACAAAACAATTTTTAAAACTCTCATATCTATGTATCAGACAAGCAGGAACATCCTGCCCAGATACCCCATTCCATTATATTATCACCAGGATTTTTCTTTAACACACATATATTCTTCTATGAACATTAAGAAAAAGGATTCACTCCTAAACTTCTCAAATTTTAGTGGGTGAAGAGAAAAGGAGGCTATTTTGTTTCTAAGACATACATATTTATTTCTCATAATTCCAGGCCTTCGTATTTTATAAATGTATAATACAGAAAAATTACTATGACTAAAAATAGAACATTTTCACAATGGCAAATTCACCCAAAAGACTGAGAATTATTATTATTATTATTATTTGGGAGATGGGAGTCTCACTCTGCCACCCAGGAGGCTGGAGTACAGTGAAGCAATCTCTGCTCACTGCAACCTCCAACTCCCGGGTTCAAGCAACTCTCTTGCGTCAGTGTACCAAGTAGCTGGGACTACAGGTGCCTGTCACCACACCCAGCTAATTTTTTTCTATTTTTAGTAGAGACAGGGTTTCATCATGTTGGCCAGGCTGTTCTCAAACTCCTGACCTCGGTGATCTGCCCGCCTTGGCCTACTGAAGTGCTGGGATTACAGTTATGACCCAACATGCCCAACTTGAGAATTCGAAATCTTAAAGGGAATAAAATTTAATTTTTAAAATGAGTATTTTACAATATGGGTGCCACTAAAGTCACAATTCTGAGACTGATGAGAGAACGGTGTCGTGAAATTAACAAGATGAAATGAAAGAAATACAGTTTCTTAATTTCTTTTTCTTTTTTTTAAGAGACCTTCAAATCAAAGTTTCTTAATTTCTAAAAAAATTAACAGGCTGACATGAAAGCTGATATTCAGTAAAAGCTAGCAGTAACTATCAGATACTGAAAAAATATAAACCCTGGCTTGAAAAAACGTATTAGATATTAGATTGCAAGATAGTTAAGAAATACTATTACGTTAATTTCAGGGTTTTATCCCTTCCTCCTCCTACTTTCATCACAAATTATATATCACTCAAATTAATAACATTTAACCACTGGCTACTGCAACATTCTTTAATCTTCAAAGTGGGAAAGAGAAGACAATTCCCAAAAGCAAAGAAATCACCCTTTTAAGCTGCAAATTTTACAGATTTCTAATATTAAGCAGATTCTCCTCTGAAAAATGCATCCTTTCTCAATTAACAAAGGTCCAAGATATCTGAATGATCAAGACATCTGAATGCATGAAAAACAAATTACTTTTAGTACTATTCTCTCTTAGTGTCCATGAAGTAAGCCTCAGTAACCCAGAGATTTTATTTTTAGTGTTTTAATATTGTCTCCCTCTTCTGTATGCAAAAGGAAATTCAAAGACGTTTTCATTTATTTCCCTTAAGACATAATCAAGAAAACTTCTTTCGATTTGTTCCCCCCCTAAATAGTTAAGAGTTAGTAATCTAACAAGATTATGAGTGTGTCAAAATATATATAAAATGTGGAGATACCAGGGTCAGGACAAGAAACATCGTAATTCTTTAGAAAACAACCTTAGAATCTCAAACTTAGAAAAACGTAAGCAAAGTTGTACTAGTTTGGTTGACAGAAGTGTATGTCTCCTGGGCCAGGTTGAACAATTTGGTTAACTAGGTAAACTTGGGGAAAGTATTTAAAGTCCTTTAACGTCAGATTTTTTTTCCACCTGTAAAACTTAGAATAAAAATACTCTCCCGATGTCATGGGACCAAAACCAGAACCCAACTTTAATTCATTCATTGAACTAAACACACTCAGTGCAATGCATGTGGTGAGGGCAGCCAAGTTTAGGAAATAAAAATACAGCATGAAACATACTTACATAATGAAAAGTTATTCATTGTTTATCTGAAGTACAAACTTAAGTGAGTACTTTAGCTGGGAACCCTAACTGGAGCACATACAAAGATACAAATAAGACATGCTTCTTAGCCTCAAAGGGTTACATAGGAACGAGGGACATGAAATGTACACATAAACAAACTACTATACAAGGAAGAAAAGCAGTCACTTGGCATTTAAAGAGGAAAGGGGCAGAAAACGAAAACTGAGAACAATATAGTTGAAGAATGGTTAAAATTAACAAATCCAAGACTCAAAAGAGAAAAATGAATTAGAGATGAGAGTGCTTAATTACAACCTCAACTCTAGCTGCACAGGTGTATATTTACCACACGTGATATTCTTCCACCATATGAGGTGGCTCAGTAACATAAGTTCTTAAGTCATTTATCATTTATTCACACTCAATTTAAATTACTTCAAATGGACATGCATTAGCAATCGCTCTCTCTTTTTTTTAAAGTCTCACTCTGTTGCTCACGCTGGAGTGCAATGGCGTGATCTCAGCTCACTTGCATTAGCATTCTCTTGATAGACACATACCCAAAAAGTCAAATTCATAATTTCCTGAACTACAGCCCTCTCAAATCTACCTACAGTTTTGTGTCGGATTACTCAAAATTCTTTTATTAAACAAATTCTATACTATGTGGATATGGCCAGTGACAGACCAAAATCCTGGTAAGATTTCATCTTTCCTCACCTTCTATTGTCCCAAGCAGCTATTTCATAAATCTGCCTCAAAATTAATCAGCTTTGTTCTTAATAATCTCCAAATAAACAGGCAGAGCCTTTTTAACTAGATGCAAAAAACTACTTCACTGTGCACTTCCTGCTCCAACCTTCTGCAGCTATCTCCTTTCTGCAGGCCTAATTATCATTCTTCATGACACAGGCCAACCCTGATCCTGTTCCAGAATAAGAAATTTCCCATGTCCTTAGAACTTCAACTTAATAAATATAAACACAGTATGCTGTAGGACTTGAGTATAACAAAGGAGTAGTAGGCCCAGTGCAGTAGCTCATGCCTGTAATCCCAGCACTCCGGGAGTCCGAGGAGAGCAGATCACGAGGCTGGGAGATGAGCCCATCCTGGCCAACATAGTGCAACCCCCATCTCTACTAAAAGTACAAAAATTTGCTGGGTATGGCAGTGTGTGCCTGTAATCCCAGCTATTCGGGAGGTTGAGGCAGGAGAATCACTTGAATCCAGGAGGCGGAGGTTGCAGTAAGCCAAGATCATGGCACTGAACTCCTGTCTGGCAACAGAGCTAGACTCTTGTCTCCAAAAAAAAAAAGCCTACCTACATCATTTATTCCCATTAACTCATCATTTATCATATACCTTCACACAATTCTATCCAGCTGAAAGGATTCCAGTCCACAGCCCTCTTTTCAAAAGTGCTGAAAGTTCAGTCTTATAGTCATTTTGTGCCTAGACTAAATTCACAGGGCAAGCAAAGATTCAGTCAGATTTTTACATTTTCAATTCAGTACTTTTCCTACTAAATTACACTACTATCTACATCTTTTGAGTGATATTCCCTTAATATTAATTCTATTGTATATCTTTACCTCTTTCTAAAAACATAAAGGAATCTAAAATTTACTTTAATTAAATAATTCATTCATTGTTCCTTCATAATAATCTAAAATTCGGTTTAATTGAAAAAAAAAAAAAAGGTCAGGTGTTCGAGACCGGCCTGGCCAACATTGTGAAACCCCATCTCTACTAAAAATACAAAAATTACGGTGTGGTGGTGCATGCCTGTAGTCCCAGCTACTTGGGAGGCTGAGGCAGGAGAATCAACTTAAATCCAGGAGGCAGAGGTTGCAGTGAGCCAACACCACGTCACTGCACTGCAGCCTGGGTGACAGAGAGCGAGACTCCGTCTCAAAAAAAAAAAAAAAAAGTAGATTCATCTTTATAACAGCTTATATTTTTAACTGTGTGAGATAGTGTGAGAAAAGTATTTGTACATCAAAGCAGACAAAACCGACAAGTTCAAGAGAAGAGACATTGTCAGATCAAATCTTGCAGGCCGAGTTTATCTATCTTTTAAAAAAAATCTTACTGAAAACCATTGCCGGGCACGGTGGCTCACGCCTGTAATCCCAGCACTTTGGGAGGCCGAGGCGGGTGGATCACGAGGTCAAGAGATCGAGACCATCCTGGTCAACATGGTGAAACCCCGTCTCTACTAAAAATACAAAAAAATTAGCTAGACATGGTGGTGCGTGCCTGTAATCCCAGCTACTCGAGGCTGAGGCAGGAGAATTGCCTGAACCCAGGAGGCAGAGGTTGCGGTGAGCCGAGATCTCGCCATTGCACTCCAGCCTGGGTAACAAGAACGAAACTCTGTCTCAAAAAAAAAAAAAACATTGTATCTGTCCTAATAAGTGCACAAACCTTACATAAACTGGATTTTTAGACTTTACTGTACTAGAATTTGAGAGGTAAAATAACCCTAATACTAAAAAAATATCATCCTTATTTTCCTGTCCCTTTTAAAGATATGTGGCTGAAAGAATCTACAAGCTTATAAACACATGGGTGATCAGTTTACCAGTACTTCTATAATTCTGAAATATTACTAGTAACAACCCTTTCAAATTGTCTTACCTTTGTTGAAAGTACTTTAAATGTGCTCTGTTCTGGTATTATAGGATGAAGAAGTTCCAGTTTCAAATTGTAATCCTCTCCAGAAGGAAGTTTAACCAAAGCAGACAACTAATGAACACAAAATTAGCATCACATTTTGCAAATGTATATAATGGAGGGCAAAAAACTTAAGATAAAATAATTACAAAACTTCAATAATGTTACAAATTATTTTAAACACTATATATGGAATATTAGAGAACCTGAAAAGGTTCATAAAGATTTAATAACCTTTTTTTCCCATCTGATATCCTTGACACAAATTCTTACATACATCGTTAAATAGCAGAAACGAGTAAGTTTCATAATATTTATCATATATTTAATCACACCTATTTGACATTTAGATCTCAAGAAAACAAAATATACAAAAGCAAAATGATATATAACAAAAGGCTATTCGTGTGCAAAACATCCAGTTCCACCACTACCTCTTTTAAATCATCTATCATGAAGTTCTCTACTAAATGCTAAGAAATCAAGTGGTTAAGTCATACTCATAAGGTTGGGAACGGTGGTTCATGCCTATAATCCCAGCACTTTGGGAGGCAGAGGTGGGTGGATCCCATGAGGTCCAGAGTTTGAGAACAGCCTGGCCAGCATGATGAAACACCGTCTCTACAAAAATTAGCTGCGCACAGTGGCATGTGCCTATAGTCCCAACTACTCAGGAGGCTGAGGCAGAATAATTGTTTGAACCCAGGAGGAGGAGCTCAATTACAGTGAGCTGAAATCACACCACTGCACTTCAGCCTGGGCAAGAAAGAGACTCTGTCTTAAAAAAAAAAAAAGAAAAAAAAAGTCATACTCATTTAACATGGTTAGTCAATTCTAAGACATGTGTGATCACAAAAGTAACTAAACCTTTTTCATTAAGTACACAAGTATAACCAAATCACATTATCTTACTAATATAACCTAGTTCTGCTTTGAATTTCAAACCTAAAGAAAAAAAAAAAACACCTAGCTATAACTTACAACATGTTTATTCTTATTTCAAAGCAATGGCTTCAGATTTTATTCAGCATTTTCCACATCATCTCAGGAAGAAATGGCATTTATCTGATAAACTGTTACAGATTATTCTGCAATATACTAATTTGCAAATAATAGTAATCAACATTGAAAAATGATTTAAAGTCTAACGACCTGTTTTTCTGAAAATTCCACATTTACGTCATTCTTCTGAACATTCTTGATCATAAGCGTAATGACTACTTGAGATTCTGTTTGATACCAGTCATACCTATTACAAAAAAAGAAAAATAACATTTCTAATTTTTTTAAAGCTGTTGTCAAAACAAAAACTAGTCTGATAAATAACAAGAGCTCCACCTGGAGGAAGAAAACAGCAAAGTAGCTACTGATTCACAGAATCAACTTTATATAACTAGTTTTTATGCTCCGTCCCAATGAAAAAAAACAGTAAGGTAGATGGTGTTCAAACCTTTCCAGTAGACTTAAATACTTACATGATTTTCTGGGTTCTGATTCATATCTCTAGCGCTATTGTGCTTAAGCTAATATAAATATTAAAGATATCATTTATTTTAAACAGCTAATATTAATATGCCATCAACAGAGTTTTACACTCTCATTTCATCCAAATACTAAAGATAAACCCTTAAATCCCTATTTTACAGAGGAGAAACTTAAGCTCGGAAAGGTGAAGCAATAAGCCAGTCAGCAGCAGTAGTGCACTGGACCCAGGTCAGCCTGAGTCAACAATCCAAACTCCTGTAACTGAAGTTGGAAGCAGATAGACTTGAGCACAGGAAATGGGGCAAATGAGCTAAAATTAAAATCATATAAAGTTTAACTGTGGCAGGCACAACATGAAATACAACACTTTCCTTCAATCTCAAGATACACAAGAAGACTAATGGATCTAGATTCTAATTCTGTGCACCTTTTGTTCTGAAAGCTATAGAAAAGTAGGAATTCTCACTTTCAAATTAGACTAGATTAAAAGCTCCCTGAGGGCAGGGCTGTTTATTCTGTCCCTATTACACTCCTAGGATCAAGTATACACATATATTAAGTCAGATGTTAGATTATTTTATGCTCTGGACACCTTATTATTTCATGGTTATGTGCCCTACTCCTGCTGCTAACACTAGGGCAAGTAAAAGTCCATTATCTACCAGGTGCTTGGAGTTTCATTCTATATCTCCCTACAACGACCATGAACAGATTCTTTTAACATTTCCAGGCCATTTTAGGTAATGATATCCAAAATCACCTTGATTAAAGAAGTGAACTTTAAGAGTCTCAGTTCCTTTTGCAATTCAGTAAGGATGCAAAGCTCCAGATCAATAGCTTGTGTTTCTTTCTGTTACAGTCCTAAGAATAGAAGCTGTACACAGGCTAATGAATAATTAAAAGTCAAAGACTTGCTAGTTGTTTATTCAATATTACAACTGCTGCCCTCAGCAATACTAACTTTCAACTCATATATAATGTTCCCATGAAAAATCTGCTCCAAATATAAAAGGCACGGTAAGTTACAATTCTGTTTAGTCTACTACTAACTCGTTTACCTATGAAGTAACATAAACTTAACTGGAAGAGACCCCCTTTAACATATGGAAAGGTAATGTAATATGAAACCAAGTGAAGCAACTTTAAAGATGAGAAATGATTTAAATTTAACTTAAGTATAACTATTAATCCTTAAACAGCCTTAAAATTAGCTTTACATAAGGCTACTGCCACAATGTTAGAAAACAAACACTAAGGATCACATGGTAAGAATTTGCTTACTTTGTATTAAATTACAGGGGTTTTTCCCCCCTTTAGGCTATCACCCATTGTTTAATGAAAAAGAAACACTTACTTGATTTTTGACTGATGAATCCACTGGGATGCAGATTGATATTGGCAAGTTGAAAGAGAAAGATTTTTACAAGTCAGTTTAGCAACTGTATATTAAAATATATGTATAATTATTTACCCAATACTGCAGTTATTTTGATATGAAATAACTACATGAAAACTTCAAGACAAAGTATAGTGACTGTAATCGTTAAATACAACTAGTCTTCAAAAAAATTAGAATGTTCGGCATTTAAAAAAATCTTAGTTTCAATTTCAGAAAAGATTTTTTTCTCTAAAATAACAGACCTTTAAATAACAGAAAACTTCTAAAGGCATGATTAGAAAAGGTTGCTTATATAAAATGGTCAGTTCTAAGATTCAGCAACCCCCTAAACCAAAATAGCATTGTTTTAGAAATTGTTTTAAGGAAACAGCATTATTGGCCAGGCTTGATGGAGCATGCCTAGAGTCCCAGCTGCTTGGGAGGCAGAGGTGGGAAGACTGCTTGAGCCCAGGAGTTTGAGGCTAAAGCAAACTGATGGGACCACTGTGCTCCAACCTGTGTGACAGAGCAACACATTGTCTTTTTAAAAAAAAATTTAAAGTTACTTTTATTCAATTCCACTATCTTTATTAACTGAAAAGACTTGTAAGTTTTCATGTCCAAAACAACAAACACTACACTGAATCAGAGATAAACATTTCCAATTTTCCTTAACTTTTGTCTTAGCCTATCATAAAAAGCCCTACAACTGATTCAAACTGTTGAACCTAAATAAATGTGATAAGGTGTAGTAAGGGAAAAATAATCATCTTGACCATACTAAAACATACGAAATCAACTTTAACCACACACTAAATTCATTAAAATAGCCCAATAATTTTCATGACTAGAAACTTCTACATTTTTCAAAAAATGATTTTATTTCCGTTCCTAGAGGAACCAGTACTTAAACAGAATTGCTTAATATCTAACCAGCAGTGAGCTCATCCTGAGTCTTGTCCCAAATATATCTGGTATTTTAAATTTAATGTAAGTAAATAAAAACATGAAGAAAAAACTTTGGACTTACCACCTCAGATTCTGAGCCTAATAAAACATAAAAAGGAAGAATTTTCAGGTAACAGTAAATTTATAAGCAAAGTTATTTATATGATTTCTATAGCACAAATGTATTGATTAAGCAAGCAAATTCTCCATACCTTTCAACTATAGTAGTTTCATTTTGTAACCTGAATTCATTTTGGGCCCCTTAGTAATTTCTTACTGAAATACTATACAAGCAAATCCACCCAAATCTCCCTTTCAACATAAGAAGCTATGCAAAACCCAGTATATCTTTGGAAGTCCACATCTAAGGAAATGTATACTATTTAAACTAAATCATAAAGGTAAAAACAAATCTGTTTAAACCAAAAACTTTCAGATATTTACTTTTTAAATTGAAATACCACAGGAGACCTACATACCATTCTGAGCTTCTTGACACCTTTTAATCCAGACACTGAAATTAGCATCTGCACCTAGAAAGAAAAAACTGACTATAACATCACTCCTCTGCACAACCTATTAATCAACAAATACTTACTGAATAGCTACTACATCTTGGGCACTGTTCTAGGCACTGGGGAGTCAGCAGTGAATAAAATCTGTCTTAATAGACCTTATCGCCAACTCTGTTTTACTTATAAATATACCAACAGTTTAACATTTAGTTCATCCTGAAATATTTTGATTTTTTAAAAATTTTAACTACAGCAACCTTATTAATTTCACAGATACAAACAATCTACATTTCCCCCAATTACTCTGCTCTTAGAGAAGCTTCACACACACAACAAAATCAGATGTAAATCAGACTCCCAATATGCCATCAGTTAGGGTGGGGAGGAGGCTTGCTATCTGGGAGCTGAGTTGAGGTCCAAAAGCCTTTCCAAGCCTCAGCTTGCTCTTCAATGCAGCTACCTGTTCAGTCCACTATTCTCTCAGTGGCTTTATCTGTTACCATGCCTTTCCTACAAACACAAAGCATCTTTAAAGTATGTGAAGTTTTGTCGTATCTTCAAGTTACATGGCAGTCGAGAGGCTATCGGTGATGTATTACATATTTATAGGTAACAGTGTAAATGTATGCATAAACATATCATTCATTTCTGGAGATACAGAACAATGATTACATTTCAACAGTCACAGTACATAGTGAGATATGTTAAAAAAAATTTTAAAGTACTCTAAATAAAAGCTTATTCAAATTAACTGCAGATAAGATTAATCTGAAAATTTTAAATCAAAAATTTCTTAAAAATTTATACTTTACTAATTTATAAAAGAAATCCAACTATACAGACAGGCTTAATAAAAATTTTAAATAAACTCTCACACACACACTATATTCTAGAGAAATACTGTATCAAAATTCTAGATTTGAGTAACCTATTATTTTAAACAATCAGTACCTAAAACCAAGCGATCTATCACACAAAGAGTGGCAAAGGTAAAAATTATTTACCCTGTCTTATAAAAATAGAAGCCTGAAAGTTTAACTTATATTTTTCTCAGATTTTGGCTGAGCATGGTGGCTCACGCCTGTGATCCTAGCAAGTGGGAGGCCAAGACAGGTGGGTTACTTGAGGTCAGGAGGTTGAGACCAGCCTGGCCAACATGATGAAACTCTGTCTCTACTAGAAACACAAAAATGAGCCAGGAGTGGTGGTATGAGCCTGTAGTCCCGCCTACTTAGGAGGCTGAGGTACGAGAATTCCCACTTGAACTCAGGAGGCAGAGGTTGCAGTGAGCCAAGATCACGCCACTGCACTATGACCTGGACGACAGAGTCTGAGCCTCCAGCTTAAAAAACAAAACAAAACAACAACAACAAAAAAACCGAAGTTTCCTGGATTTAAAGATAAATTTATTTCTAAGTGAAATATCCTCATAGCAATTTTATCAAAGAGGCCTTTTTCTAAAGGCCACCTCTGAAATAACTATAGAATAAATGTCAATGGCATGATATTAAGATATTACTCAAGAAAAGAATTTAGGGGCCAGATGCAGTGGTTCATGCCTGTAATCCCAGCACTTTGGGAGGCCAAGGCAGTAGGATTACTTCAGGCCAGGAGTTCAGAGGCAAATCTGGGCAATGTAGCAAGACCTTGTTCCTACAAAAAAAAAATGTTTAAAAAATTAGTTCGGTGTGGTGGCACTACTTCCAGTCCCAGCTACTCAGAAGGCAGAGGCAGGAAGACTGCTTGAGCCCTGAAATTCAAGGCTGCAGTAAGCTACGATGGTGCCACTGCACTCAAGCCTGGGTGACAGATCAAGACTGTGCCCCAACTCCCCCCAACAAAAAAAAAAAAAAAAAAAAGAAAGGAATTTTAGGCAGAAAACATTTCTATTGCTCTTAAAAGGAATAGGGCTTAGAAATGTAGAGGATGAGACTGGGCACAGTGGTTCACGCCTGTAACCCCAACACATTGGGAGGCCTCAACAACAGAGCAAGATTGTCTCAAAAAAAAGGGAGAAATTGTAAAGAATGCTAAGACTCATGTTTCTTCAGGGTTTTCAAATACATACCAAGGCACTACTAGGTAACTTTACTCTAGAATTTGCTAAGAGTGCAGATATGCTGCTTGCTGACTGAATAGCCTTACTATTAACGTACTAAAACTGGGATAAGCAAGTCTGAGAATAAGCCCTATCAACCAGACCTCTCCTTTTGTAATTTGTAGCCTCCATTTGCATAATCAGTCCTAAAATCCTTTTTTCTGAATAGCTACACAGCAGAAAAGCAAACATTCAAAGCAGTACAGATTAAGAATGTAACATGCAATACTAAGAGTGGAGTTTCTTAACTCCAGTACTACTGACATTTTGAACCTGATACTTCTTTGTCAGGCGGGCTGTCCTGGGCATTATAGGGTATTTAGTAGCACTTCTGGTTTATACTCATTACATATCAGTAGCACACCCCCCACCCACCATTCATGACCATCCTCTTTAGACACTGCCTAAAGTTTCCTGGGAAACAAATTGTTTCCAGTTAAGAACTACTTCTTTGGAGAATTGTGATAAAGCTCTATCATAAATAAAGATAAAATGACAGTATAAGAAGGATTATGTAGTCTCCAATTTTCTGAGATTACTCATAATCTCTTAGTATTTTTCAGATTTAAAAATTCTTGGCTCTTACAATGTCTATATATGTCTAGATATCTATACCACTGTGATACTTTTCATATATCCCCCTCAAAAATATAACATTAAAAGTCACAATACTCTCAAAATTGTATTTCTTCTGTAATCTGTCATAATTCACCCAAACATACCCTTTACTTCTCCATAAAAACCTTTACTGTTAAAATTTCACATCTCAGCAATCCGAGTAACTTAAAATGAAGAGACTTCTAACCATGAAAGCAAATTAAACTTTCACTTCTCCATTAGAAAAAAACAAAGCCAGACTAAGCAGAGAGAGCATGTTAAGTGTTTACATGCAATTTTTTACTTGTAATGGTAAAGTTTATGGTAATTCAAATGCCAAAAGGCTAATTTAATCAATTTTATGTGATCTCATACCTGCAATCCACATGAAATGTAATTAAGATGAGAAAAATAGGTATTGGGCTTCTACAATTAACTTGAAATTAACATTAACAAAATTGAGCTTTGGTATTTAAGATAGAAACAGGTAAGTTTATTAGAGCATAATTTCAATACTTACTATCTAATTTTTGTCCTTCTATAAAAGTTTCTAGAGCAGCAGCATAGTTTTTTTCATGGTATTCACATATTCTGCATGAATATATTTAAAACAAATTAAGACACACACAAAAGAGTTGGAAAATAGCTTTCTTTCTAAATAAAAAAACTTAGTATTTTCTACTGTTGAAAGAAAAAATTTAAGTATATGCTAATAAACCAACAGACTAATATACTGTTAACATCTAGTACAATTCCTAGTAACATTCAATTTTAGAACTCAGTTCAGCAGAAATCTGCCTTTAAAATTGTAGACTTGCTCATTCCAAAATGTAATTATACAAAAGAATAAAGGAAGTTTCTTGCTTAAAGAATAGCTATACTTACTTATCAACAGAAACAAAATGAGATATAAAGTACATAGATATAGAGCTTACATAGCATTAAATGGAGCCTATTCAGTTTGGCTGAATAGGATGTTCTCCAGTCAATCAAATATAGTAAATTCCAAATGATAAACAAAAAAAGGAATGTGAAATCTGTCAGTTTCATCTATACCTTGCAATTACTTCAATCATCAGTATTTTAAAATTTACTAAGTATAGATCTCCTATCACATACTATAGTTAACAAAATAACAAAACTGTAAGTTGTATTTAAAACTGAATCATATCTCTGCTATACAATATATAAATACAGAATTTTACTACTTATATAAAACTTGCAATGAACTCATTCAACAAATTTAACACCCACTATCTATACCAAGCTCAACAATTAGAGTAGCTACTACATACCCTTTTCTCAACATAGCAGTGGAATTATTTGGATTGAGTTCGAGAGACTTCTTTGCATCAGCAACAGCAACTATATAGAAAAACAAGAGTTTTTAGTCAATTATTTACAGATCCTAGCAAATACACACAACGTACAAATCAGTCTTAGATTTCTAAATTTTCCAGTTGTTAGAAATGCCAAATGGTTTTAAATTAGGAAAGCTAATACAAGATAGAATTCAAATAAATATTACTTGTGTACCTTCCTTTTGGCTTAACATTTAGTTTCTTTCCTAAAGCTCTTCAGTCAATGAATACAGCTGTGTCACAAAATTCATCTCCTTGTCTCGTTAACATCATTTACGTAATTTGACTCAAAGTATTCAGTTTTTCCTTCTTCAGATTCTTGATCAGAATAATTTTTTAAAGTTACAAAATACAGATATCCATTACTCTTTAAATATAGGTGGTCTTGTTACGTTGCCTAGGCTGGTCTTGAACTCCCGGTTTCAAATGATCCTCCTGCTTTGGCCTCCCAAAGTGCTGGGATTACAGGCATGAGCCACCATGCCTGGCCACATTCTTTTTTATATTAAAAAAATACAAATGATCATTTCATTTTAATACTGTCAAATAGTAAATGTGATGCTATTTTTTTTTATCAGCATACCCATTAACTACAAATTAAATCTGTATACATTCTCCACCCAACAAAAGAAAAGAGACATCCATAAAATTTAAATGGGTGTTGCTCAACGTGTCTGTCACTTTTAACCTACTTTACCTTCTATAAAAGACCAATTTAAAAATTCTCAAAGACAACCTTTATTTGATTAATTTATCATGGGTAAAATGCATAAGTAACTTATTAAAAGCAGGCAATATACTTTGTAAGAAAAGTTACCACAGTAATTCCCAAGAAGAATGTGGCAATAAGCTCTTTGACAATAATACTGTGCATCATCTGGTTTCTGTTCCAAAGCCTTAGTCAGCTCCTACAAAAACAAACATGTTAAGTGTCAGTAACAGTTTTCATCAAATTCTAATTAAAACATAATTTTTAATCAAATAACTTACTGTCAGAAGCTATTTGGAGGAAAGATAATAGGGATATAACTTTGGAGGTTTTCCTTATAATGCAATCAGTATCTCCCCCACTTCTCCTGCCCCTCCTCCCAAAAGTAGACAATCTAATGTAGTATCTCTGTACCGTAAAGCATTTAGTTCCTGGCATGTAGAACTCAATAAATGGTAATTATTATCACCTCATATATTCTGAAGAGTTTGTTACATGCAGTGGCCATTACAGATTTTCTCCAATTTGGAGAAGATTCAAACGCCATATAGAATTTGGGATTCCCAGAAAACGTGAAGCTGTCCAATTAAAAAAAGACTAGAAGTTAAATCTAGCACTGAGGGAGGTTAAAACAATCAATACATACACGATCAAGTTTACCTGGCCCTCTCCTATCGTTTATCAATAGCACACAACTCTAATAAAACCCAACTAACATTCTGTTCAAATCCTACAATCTAATAGATGGCTATGCCAAATACCAAGAGTTAACATTAGAGACATTGAAAGTTTTTCAACCTGTGCAGTCACAACATATTGGTGTGGTAGCTGGAAAAATCATGATGCAAAAGATTAGACAAATAGGGAGATCAAGGACAACTGCAGGAACACAGGAACACTTATTTTCTGCCAACTGCCTACAAACTCTAGGGATATGGTAGTTTTCTTAAATGGTAAAATTATTTCAATTGCCACATGTCATTGACTTTGCTTTAACCTAGTAGTGTGACTCTCACAAGTAACATATACAGATGCTCCTCAACTCACCGGGGGTTACAGTCAATCAACAGAAAGTGTGGCTCAAACCAAGAGAGCAAAGAAGCTTTAAGATGCTACTTCAATGGCTCACTGTGTAGCTTGCAAGCTGTTACAAGGAATTTGGACCTTAGGAGTGATGGGAGGGCATGGAAAGTTCACTGTTAGTAAGAGAAAGAGATGGTCCTACTTACCTTTTTTAAAAAATGTCATTTTGGCTGCAGTATAGTGAATACATGATCAAATCAGGACTGGAAACGGAGACTTCTTAGGAAACTACTACATTAAGTCTAGGCTAGAAAAGGATCTTAGCCACAGAGGTGATGAAGAGAAATACAGTGAGTTGGAATATACTAGAACCAGCAAGACTTGCTAATGGATGACCATGTGGGATAGGAGAAACTGAAGATGACTTCAGGGTTTTGGGCTTGCCTAGATCTGTACCTGGCATCTAGTAAGCACTTAATGAAAAGTATTGCTTTCTCTCCTTGCAAACTTTTTTCAGCCTTTTCCCCAGTCTCTAATTTGACCTCATCTCCTTTACCACAGAATATGAAAATATTTGCCTCTCTATAGTCAATCTTCTCAAAGTCACTAATAACCCCTTATGAAATCCAATTGATTCCTACCTGACTTGATCTCTCTGTAGCCCTTGACATTAATAATAAGGCCTTTCGGCTTACCATTCTGTTGCCTCTTAAAAACTAATGTTTTCCTTGGGTTCAGTACTTAAGACTTCTTCCCCTCTAGAAAAATCCTTTGATTCCTTAACTATTGGGGGCTTCACAATAGTTAAGGATGTATGCAGATGACTGAAGTCTATCTTGAGCCTAGACTGCTCCTGAGCAACATCAGCATATAGTTTTTTCTAGACTTTACCTGAAATGTCCCAAAAGCAACTCACATACAAACACTCACAATCTGAAACTACTTTCTCTCCTCCAACCTATTCTTCCATGCTGACTGCGATCTTCTAAGTGCTATCATCCTAAGTGCTATCTAAATGAATGGCACCAATTTCCCCAGCCAGAAACTCAGGAGTCATCCCTTATATTCCGGTCATCACCAAGACCAGCACGTTTTACATGAAACAACTTCCCTCCATGCCCTCAATCATTGCCCTACATGCAGATATTAATCTTTGACAGGGTCTGCACCATTATCTTCCTGCTATCCAATATCCCTTGTGCCTCCACCAGTTCATTATATACTGTTTTTAAAGGTTTTGTAATTCAGAACATTTCATTTCCTTCCTCCAAATTCTTCACAGATCTCCATGATCATATGATAAAACCGAAAACCCTGTGCTAGGACTTAATGTCTTTGATGGCCTGGCCTCTCTCCACTTATCTAGGCTTTATCTCCTAGCACTTGCCTCTTCACACTTTATAATCTAATATTACTGAACAACTGGTTTTATTCCCAAAACAGAATAGCCATGCGCCAGGCACTGTATTAAGCATATAGGGTACCCTCACTTATCTTCACAATAACCCTTTCAAGTAGGTCCTATTTATTCCCATTTGATAGATGAGAAATCTGCTCTGGAGTGTTGACAGGAACTTTACTGAAGTTACAGTTATCATAAAACCAGAATTTTGACCTAAATGTTTCTAACTCCAGAGCCTGGGCTCTTAACCACCATGCATAGTGGGCCTCAAACAAATCTCAAAGTTCACACATTTTCTCACCTTACCGAATTCCATCCTTCTCTATAACGTTTTTAACACCCTCAGTCAGCTTCTATTCTTCTATGCTCTTTTATACACAACCCATAACAGGAGTTAACTCTATTTTAATGATCTGTTGACTCCTCTGTCTTTCCACTAGATTGAACTCACTGTAGTCTTTTCATCTTTAGACTCCTGATTTCCAGTAAAGCATTCACCACTAATGCCCATTCTTTGTAGAATGAATGAAAATGTGAAACAGCTTATGTGATAAGAACATTTCTCTTTTATTCCTAACTGGATGATCTTATATAAAATATATACATTTTAACATGGTACCAACTGACCCGAATCCCAAATGGCTGTTCAAGTAGCCCTTGAGAAAATCCAAGGGAAATACACTCACACTCACCAAAATTTGAACCCTACTTACCATTACCAATCATTTTATAATTTATACTAACCTATTCATCTTTGTGAGGTCATCTCACAGTTCAAAAAGAACATTTCTGGCCGGACGTGGTGGCTTACGCCTGTAATCCCAGCATTTTGGGAGGCCAAGGTGGGCAGATCACGAGGCCAAGAGATTGAGACCATCCTGGCCAACACAGTGAAAACCCATCTCTACTAAAAAATGCAGAAATTAGCTGGGTGTGGTGACACACACCTGTAGTCCCAGCTACTTGGGAGGCTGAGGCAAGAGAACTGCTTGAACCTGGGAGGCGGAGGTTGCAGCGAGCCAAGATCGCACCACTGCACTCCAGCCTGGAGCCTGGCAACAAAGTGAGACTGTCTCAAAAAAAAAAAAAAAGAACATTTCTTAATACAACTGGTTCTTATCATGATCATCCTCCCCACACTCAAGGTTTCTGATTCCAGGTCTGGAGTGGATCCTGAGAATTTGCATTTACAATATGTTTATGCTCCAGGTGATCTGGAGCTCACACCTTTGAGGACCACTGTTCCATAGCATTAGACTAAAATTCAGAAAACCTGTGTCCTAAGGCCTGTAACTGGTATGTACATGTCTATGACAGATCATTTGGATTTATTCCGTTTTCTCTCTTTTTAAGAAATGGTGTTTCTTTATGTTGCCCAGGCTGGTCTTGAACTCCTGACCTCCCGAAGTGGTAGGATTACAGACATGGGACTCCATGCTCAGTCAGGTCTCTTTTTCTGTACACTGAAAAGGAAAGATAAGTACTAGACTACATGAGTCTTAAGGACTTTCAATAAGAATTTGCACTTCTAGGCAAGGCGTGGTGGTTCACGCCTGTAATCCCAGCACTTAAGGAGGCCTTGGCGGGTAAACCACAAGGTCAGGAGTTCAAGACCAGCCTAGCCAAGATGGTGAAACCCCGACTCTACTCAAAATACAAAAATTAGCCAGGCACCGTGGCAGGCACCTGTCTGTAATCCCAGCTACTCGGAAGGCTGAGGCAGCAGAATCACTTGATCCTGGGCAGCAGCAGAGGTTACAGTGAGCTAATATCACACCACTACACTCCTGCCTGGGCGACAGAGTGAGATTCCAACTCAAAAAAAAAAAAAAAAAAAAAAAAAAAAAAGCATTTGCACTTCTCATGAATTGCCAGGTGATGCTGATACTGCTGGTCCAAGGGCCACACATTAAAAATGAAGTTACTAATGCTAGCCACGTGACTATTCTAGGCAATTCTTCTCCTAGGTACTTACAACCAAAAGAAATGCATGTGTTCACCAAAATACACATACAAGAGCATTCACAGAAGCTTTATGCTAGCTAGTAACTAGAAATAACCCAGATGTCAACTGTTGGAATAAATTGTGCTGTACTTACATCTATACAACATATACAATTACACAATGGAGCATTACACAGCAATGTAAAAGAACTACCACGTCACACAATATGAATGTATATTCACGTAATAATGAGCAAAAACATTCAACAAAGCATCTACTAAGTCTACATTCAACAAAGCATCTACATTCAACAAAGATTCTGTTTATGAGTCAAGAACAAGCAAAACTAACTGATGGTGATGGAGGTCAAAACAGGAGTCAGCAGGACAGTAAGAATTACTGGCTGAGGAGCATGAAGGTGCATTATGAATGGTGATACTCTGTATCTTGATCTGGTGCTGTACACACATGTAAAAACTCATCAAACTGAGACTTAAAATCTGGGTTATTTACATGATTCATATATGCCTCCATAAAAAATTTTAAAAGTAAAATAAGATGGAAACTGACAATAAAATTCACTATTTAATATCCTTTAAAAGCAACTTTTATATAAACTGGATTTCTAAAGGAAGCAGGTCTAAGAGAACAGCAACAAATGTAAAGTTAATAGCTGTCTAGCTAATATAATAAATTATGGAGAAAAATTCTCAGTGCTTCCTGTAACATTATCCCCAAACCGATCCCAGAAGCCTTATTCCCAGTTCTAAAGGTCTACAAATTTTTATGTCAAACATATCTGGACCTTAAAAGGCTTCACAGGACCTGGGGCTCCTGGTTTCCTGTCCAACCTTATCTCTTAATCAAATGGGCCCTCGAATACACAGGGCCTTTTTGCTGCTTCATACAAAGGCCAAATTCATTCTTACCTCGGGATCTGCACTGGCTCTTGGTCCTGCCTGGAATGCTCTTCCCCCAAAGCTTCCAAGTTAACTCCCTTGTTCCTTCAGGCCTCCGCTCCAAGACCACCTCAACGGAGGCTCTAGTACCATGTTGCACATTTATAAGTCATAGCTAGAAAAGATGCTATCTTGCCTGAAATTGTTATACTTTCTTATGTCGGATCATAACAAAACAGGGTTTCCTCTTTTCTGTGATTTAACTCAAAGAAAAACCTCCTGGCTAAATTCTGTGATCTTTAGGCGCCGCTTTAATTCTTACTATTTAATTCTTTTACATTCCTTTACAGCTTTATGGTTTGTCTTCACTGCACACCGACAAAAAGTGATCTCTAGATTAGCTAAGTATATAACCGAGACTTTAATCCACAGCAATCAGCTCCTTTGCACACAGCAACTCCAAAAAACTTTTTGACGAATACACAAATGAGGGAATAATGAACTGTGACAAGACATCTGGAAAGTTTCAGGAACGTGAGAAAAAAGGTTTTTGTTCCAGTAGACTGACTTCATGCCGACACTTTTACATAAGAATGGCAAGAATGATTGTCAAGCGAAAAAATTAATTTCATCGAGCCCAGAGTCCACTTTTCTCTTCTAGTCATAAATGCCATTACAAAAAAATCCTTCCAGCCCAACTACAGATGCCAACCATGCTCCCAAGAAATCAAAAAAGGTTTTTCTTAGGAGCTGGAGGAATGCAAGAGTCTGTGAGTGGAAAGAGCAAGATAGGAGCCTGGGGTAACGCGGTTGCCGTGGGACAGAGAAAGGAGACCGAGACCCGGGCTGAGACGCAGCATCAACAGGAGCTTGGGTCCCTGTCCCGCGGTGCTGGGAGAAGGCGGGTCAGCCGGGACCCGAAGCGGCCCAGTTCCCGTAAGCAGAGTGGAGGAAGCAGAAATGGGCTCTCACCTCTAACGCCGCCTGGGGGTCCTCGTCGATTAGAGCATCCGAGAAGCTCTGGAAAAATCTGCCAGAAAAACAACGACTTCAGCAGGGCTCACTAGCCAAAGAAAGGGGGATAAAATAAACAGCAAAGGGAAAAAAAAAAACACGCACCTCCGGGATGTTGCAGGTCCTGCTGCAGCCGCCGCCATCCCTCGTAGTCACTGTTGCTGCCGCGAGAGCTGCTACTATCGCGGTTACCACCTCCGCCACCGCCCAAAGGGGAAACTTCTGGAGAAACACCAACCGAACTTCCGTCCTAAGTAGCCAACGAGCAGCCACGCAGCGTGCTACTAGCGGGACGGGAGGCAACTTGCAGGCGCGGGGCCGGCTGGGACAGTGGAGGACCGATTCCTTCCAGCCGGCCCGCCGGCCCAGGACCAGCATTCGCAGTCCCCGCCCCTCGCAGCCATGGTTACGGAAGCCTGGGACCTACACGTTCTCCCTCTCTTTCACCGCACCCACGCCGGCGGGCACTTCCACAGAGCTTTCAGGAGTAGTAGCTTAGAAGCACTTTTGTAACGTAATGTCATCCCTCAGGAACATGTGGCGGTTAGGGGCGTTTGTAGATCGGTTAATAATGCAAGGTACTGCGAGCTCCATTTTCACTAATTTTTAATCATGGCTGCCACAGGTAGCCAAGCCCTTTCGTCTCCGTTACGTCGTTCGCGTCTGCGTGGTCGCTTCCGGGAGCAGAGGCCCGGATGACGCGTAGATTTCCCCCCCCCCCCCCCCCCCGCGATCGCTGGGCTGGGAATCCCAAACGGCTGTTACTCGCCGGAAGTTATTCTGCGCTAATAGCGGTCTAAACGCCGTCTGGTTCCTGGGGCGACGAGCTATTCCTGGGGAGTAGGTGCCGGTACTATTCCCTTCCCTGCATCTCTAAAGCCCAGGCTTTCTTTAGTGGGCTTCCCAGACCAAGAAGGAAAACCTTTTCCATCCGAAGGTTCCGAGGGTCGGTACCTGAAGTTATCTTAGTGCCGCTTTGTTTCCTTCCCCCGTAGGTCAGCCCTCCCTCAGCGCCCTTTGATCTACGCAGATCGGATGGGGAAAGCTGCCCGCATGTTCCAGGGATGAGGGCAGATTGGGAAGCGGGAGGGAGTGGACTTTGTCTAACTTTATACCACTACCAAAGTGTGTTAATGTAGCTTTATAATAAGTCTTGAAGTCCTGTAACTTATTCTCCCAAGGTTGCTTTGTGTTATTCCAGCGCCTTTGTATTTCTAGATGAATTTTGGAATTAGCTTGTTTAAAATAAACAAAAACTACTGGGATTTTTACTGGGCTTGCATGGATCTATAGATCTGTTTGGGGGAAACTAATATCTTAACATTAAGTCCTTCAATCCATGAATACCTTTCTTCCCCAACATTTATTTAAGTGGTCTTTAATTTCTCCTGGCAATGTTTTGTAGATTGCACACATATCTATATTTTAATGCAGCTGTGCTTGGATAGATTGCAGCATAGAGGTAATGCATCTTTCATTAGATTTATTCTTGAGTATTTAGTACACAATGTTAAATGGCACTTTTTAATATTCGACTCATAAAAATATAGAAATACTATTGATTTTTACACACTGACCTTATATTCAAGCATCTTGCTAAGTTCCCTTGTTATTTGTAATACTCTGCAGATTCTTCCGGAATTTGTGATCAAAATCTTGCAATCCGTGAATAAAGACAGTTTAACTCTTCTGCGTTAAAACGCGCTCTGAATGAAGAGACACCTCCCCCCCTCCCAAACAGGCTTTGTGTGAGCAACAGGTTATTTATTCACCTTGGTGCAGGTGGGCTGAGGCCGAAAACAGAATCAGGGCGGTGGAAAAGGAGCTGGTTTCATAGGTTGTGGGGGAGGCAGTGGAAAGTTACAAAAGATAAGTTTAGGGTGGTTTTTTGCAAGCTGGGAGAGCGTCGTAGGGTGTGAAGTCACGAGAATGGCCAAGCTGGAAGGTCTTAGGGTGTGAAGTCAAGAGGTTGGCCAACTGGGAGGAGGTCTTAGGGTGTGGAGTCAAGAGGTTGGCCAAGCTGGGAGGGGGTCATAGGGTGTGGTATGAGGTTGGCCAAGGTCAGTTACAAAGTCCAATGGCCTTGTCAATTGAGGCCCGGAATAAGAAACAATAGAGAATGTCTCTGAGTTAAATAGGTACCCCAGGGGTTGATCATTTCTTCCTCTTTCCATGATCTTATTCTATTTAAGGTTTTCTAATTATGGAAGGCCCTCCACAGGTGTATGTGCGGTTCATGGGGGTTGTCATGCCATCCACCTCACAGTCAGACCTTACATGCTGTAAACTTTATAGCTTTTATTTTCATTTTTGCCTTTTGTTTCTAATACTTTCACTATTGAATAGAAAGAGTGATAATGTACTTCTTTGTCTTGGTTGGAACATCAGGAGGAAAGCATTAAATGTCAAATGCTTTTTCTGCCTTTATTGAAATGTTCATTTGTATTTTTTACTGTGAATTACACTGGTTAACTTTCAAATGTTATCTAAATGGCCAGTTGTCCTTCTGGACCCCCACTGACTCCATTTGGAATGGCACTGTAAGAAGAGAGGTGGAGCCAGGCAATGGAGCTCAGGTTTGTAATCCCAGCACTTTGGGAGGCCGAAAAGGACGGACCACGAGGTCAGGAGTTTGAGACCAGCCTCGCCAATATGATGAAACCCCATCTCTACTAAAAATACAAAAATTAGCGGGGCATGGTGGTACACCCTTGTAAGTCCCAGCTACTGGGGAGGCTGAGGCAAAAGAATCATTTGAACACAGGAGGTGGAGGTTGCAGTGAGCCAAGATCGCACCACTGTACTCCAGCCTGGGCAACAGAGCAAGACTCTGTCTCAAAAAAAAAAAAAAAAAAGAAAAAGGGAGAGGCAGAGCCAGTGGAGACAAGGTTTATTCAGGACTTACATATAAAGGTGGTCCAGTGGTGGTACGCTGGATAGGAGAACTGCTACTGTTTGTAAAAAACATATAGTCTGTGTAGTATTTTCACTTAGCACCCTCTTTCTGGCAACCTCCACTGAACCCAAAACAAAGGGCCTTGATCCCCTGTACAGCCTGTGTTCCAAGATATGGGCTAGAGGTGTGGATGTTCTTCATAGATAGGGAGTGAATCTCAGGGTTTGCTACTCTGGATTCCTTAGCCCAGGACTCCAAACGTAAGTTCTTCTTCGACCATAGGGTTATTCTCGAGAGAACATTACCTGATTTCAAGACTTTTCAACCTTGTGGTATTGGCACAAAGATAAACAGATTAATGGAACAGAGAATCCATAAATAGACCCATACCATATGTGGACAACTGATTTTTAACAAAGGTCCAAAGGTAATTCAGTGAAGAAAAAATAGCTGAAAAGGATAGACATTACAACAAATTGGATATACATATACCAAAAAGTAAGTTTCAGTACATATCTTGCACCATGCACAATTAACTCAAAATGGATTATGGGCCTACAACTCCTATAAAACTTCTATAAGAAAGAAAATCTTTGTGATTTTGGGTTAGGCAAAGATTTCTTAGCACACCAAAAGCATGATCCATAAAAGAATTTGTAAATTAGACTTCACCAAAATTTAAAAGATTATACACTATGAAAATATTTATAATCACATCTCTGATGAAGAGCTTGCATCCAGAATATATAAAAATCTCTCAAAACTCAAACTATAATTCAATAGGGAAACCAATTAAAACCACAACCATATACCACTACATACCCATTTAAATGGCTACAATGAGAAAGACTGACAATGTTGTCAAGGATGTAGAGCAACTGGAAAACTCATACACCACTGGTAGGAATGTAAAAAGGCACAACCATAAGATGATTTAGACCACTGCTATACAATTAGCACCCGAGATATGAAATAACATGTTCATGCAATATTTCTGCAGGAATGACTGTTTATAGAAGTTTTAATGGTTAATAGTTGAAAACTGGAAACAACCCAAATGTACATCAATAGGTGAATAAACAGTACAGCTGGCCAGGTGTGGTGGTTCATACCTGTAATCCCACACTTTGGGAGGCCAAGGTGGGCGGATCACCTGAGATCAGGTGTTCAAGACTAGCTTGGCCAACATGGTAAAACCCTGTCTCATCTAAAAATACAAAAAAAATGTGGTATGTATCTATAGTCCCAGCTACTTGGAAGGCTGAAGCAGGAGAATCACTTGAACCTAGGAGGTGGAGACTGCAGTGAACCAAGGTCACACCACTGTACTCCAGCCTGGGCAACAGAGTGAGACTCCGTCTCAAAACAAAGAAACAAAAAACAACAGTAATATAGCCAGTATAGCCATACAATGGAATACTACTCAGCAATAAAAGGAATGAAGCATTGCTACACACTACAATAGGGATGAATCTCAAAATTATTATGCTAAGTGAAGGAAATCAGACAAAAATAGTACATTTTGTATGATTCCATTTATATAAAATCCTGGAAATTAAAAAAACTCATCTTTATGACAGATAACAGATCAGTGGCTTACTGGGTGGGACGCGGGGGTTGGAGAGCAGGGCAGAATTTCAATAATAGAAGGGGCACAAGGAAACATTTTGGATTAATAGGGATGTTCACTATCTTGATGATGGTGATGATTTTACCAGTGTGTATATATATATGTAACACTTCAAACTGTACATTTTCATGTGTGGGGTTTGCTTTATGTCAATTATAGCCCTATAAAGCCATTTTTTAAAAACACATTTAGAGGTATAGATAAAAATTGATAGTCATCAACATATGGATAGTTGTAAGCAACATGAGAACATGATCATGAAAACAGACAAGGAGGCTAGGCACAGTGGCTGGCTCACACCTGTAATCCCATCACTTTGGGAGGCCAAAGCAGGAGCATCCCTTGAGTCCAGGACTTCAAGACCAACCTGGGCAACATGGTAGAACTCTGTCTCCACAAAATAAATTAGCCAGATGTGGTGGTGCACGCCTGTAGTCCCAACTACTCCTGAGGCTGAGGTAGGAGGATTGCTTGAGCCCAGGAGGTCAAGGCTACAGTGAGCTACTATTATGCTACTGCACTCCAACCTGGGCAACAGAGCAACATCTACCTTAAGAAAAAGGGGGAGAAGGTGGTGGCAAGGACAATATGTAGTTTTCTCATTTAATAAATATTGAGTCCCTACTATTTATAGATATGCTAGGGACTGGGGATACTAAAATGACTGCAATCTTGGTACTTAATAATCTTGTGTTGGAATCATGCATATCAACAGGCAATTATTATAGTGTCATATATGTCTAAATGGGAGAGATTAAAGGGTTCTATGAGAGCAGTCAGAAGATTTTGAAAGCTCAGAGAAAGCTCTTAGAGGAAGCAATGTCCCAGCCGAAGCCTGAAGAACATATAGGAGTTAACCAGCATGAGATAAACTGCTGAGCAAAGTGGCTGGAAAGCAGAGCTAGTGCAGTGATTTGGGAAGTAGAACTTCAGGGATGTTCATCTGCAAAAGCCCCTTCAAATCCTCTAATTTATTATAAATTTATATGTATTTTTCCTAAATAAATCCCCTTTCAACTTCCACAACCCCACCAAATTGTGTAAATTTTGGCACTATAAAACCTGGATTTGTCCTTAAGTAGGTCTTTCTTTTGTTTGGGGAATTCCTTGAGTCTTCCCACTGAGCCAGTCTCCCTCTATAAAAGCTGAAATACTAAACAACTTAACTGAACTTGCACAAACTTTAAAATTGGTAGCTGGTTAACAACAACAAATCAAGGCAGGACCTTAGCATATCCTCTCCAGATGCAGCAGCACATGTGTCAAGATCAAATTTCCAAAGCAGTAGATAGTGTTACAAAGCACAGTGTGTCAGTGCTTGGCAACAGTGGCTACAATTTCCTCACCCAACCAGTTATGCAGTATCGTTGCAGGATTTATTCCTAGCCATGTGGCTCAGATTGATGCTGATTCTCTAGTCCTTTTGGCCATTCTGTGAGCAGAACAATATTCTTCTAATTCAATTTATCTTATACTGAAAACTAGAATCCATCTCTGTTGCTTAAGAATCCAAACCGATAGACAATTTGGTATTTGGAAGTGGAGTGCTACAAAACAGATCTGGAATGGTCTGTAACTGGCCAGGTGGAAAAGGCAAAATGGAGGGCATTGAGACACAACTGTTTCAGCCTGGGAAAATAGTGACTCTGAGACAGGACATCAAACTCACACCATAAGGAAATGTACTCTAAAGTTGAGCAGCCTTAGAGTCTTCTTCCCAGTGCTCATATCACATGTGACTGTTGAGGATAAGACACCAGGCAGCCACAGCCTGCATGTCCCACCAGAGTATCAGACATGAAGCTGGACAGAGTATCCTGATGAGATTCTGGCTGATTCTCTTTGGGAAATAAATACATTTTTCACATGGGCATGAACATTTTTGAATGTTTATACAGAAAGGACGTGTGTATATATAAACATAGAATACTTCATTCCTCCCTTCTTCCCTTGCTGTGGAGCCTCAATTTTGTTTCTCCAGCACATGACTAAGTCATTTGTGGTAATCCGACATCCCACATTGTTGGGACCCCAACCCCACATTTTTGGCCATATTGGGCAACAGTACGGTTTAGGAAGGGGTATAATAACTAATCTAGCCAATGGGCCATGTATGAGATGTCTGCTCAGGGATTCTGGGAAAGGTCTCCTTACTGATAAACAGAAACACAGAATAAAGGACAGTAACAGTGGCATCACAGGTCCTTCCTTGAAAAACAATGTTGAATCAATGATTTGGTGTGGAGAGACCAAGTATTGAGAGCCATGTCTTACTCAAGAGTTGGTGACCAGAATATGTTAGGGCTACAGAGAGTCAAGACATGATATAGGGGCAGATCATACTGGTGCTTGTAAACCCTGTTCAGAAGTTTGCATATTCATTGCAAGAAATGATGGTAACTTAAAGTCGAAACATGAAGATGAATGACAAAAGCTTTTCAGGAGGTAAATTGCCTGGGCTGCATGACTGATTGGATGTGGATATCAGATGTGACCGAGCCATGGAAATGGCTGAGATTGTCAAAGGAGCATCTCACTTGGCACCACTCTGAGTAGCAAGAAATAAACAATACTAGTAAAAAATGCAAACTGTATAGCTTTCCCATGAGATACAAATTCAGTAGGTATGGGGTGGAACCAAAGAATTTGCATTTTATGAAAAACATCAGCTGGGTGCAATGGCTCACACCTGTAATGCCCGCACTTTGGAAGGCCAAGGAGGAGTGGATCTCTTGAGCCCAGGAGTTGAAGACCAGACTGGGCAACATGATGAAAACCTTTTTCTACACAAAATACAAAATCCAATTAGCCAGGCATGGTGCAAGCCGATGTTTCCAGCAATTCGGGAGGCTGAGGTGAGAGGATCGCTTGAGACCTGGGAGGTGGATGCAGCAAGCCAAGACTGTGCCACTGCACTCCAGACTGGGTGACAGAGCGAGACACTATCTCAAAAAAGAAGAGAATTACATTAACTCTGAAATAGTCGGCCTAGGAACCCAGTTTGATGGAGGAATTTGAATGTTAAGCTAAGGATTTTGGACTTTATCCTACAGTTAGCAAGAAAGGCATTGAGAGTTTCCATATACGAACATTATGTATTCCCAAGGAATCTTTTTATTTTTTTTAAGACAGGTTTAAAAAAAAAAGAGAGAGAACAGAAAAAAGAAGAAAAAAACACAGTAAGGCCACTGTAGTACCATTAACAATTCAGGTTAACAATTCAACACACTCAGAGCATTTCTCTTTACTTCCTTGCCCTCTGAACTGTTCAATAAATAGTGAAGAACACAAAGGTAACTGCAGTATTTATTTCAGACCTGCTGTTGCTCTCCAATTTAAAAGCAAAACAGGAGCATTAAATTTGTCACAGTTTAAATTGATAAAGGCAGACCTCTATCAGATACAGGTGCATCTTAACTTACAATGGGTTTACTGGGGGAGGGGAAAATATCGTAGGTCAAAATGCCTTTAATCCATCTAACTTACTGGGCTTCAGAGCTTAGATTAGCCTACCTTAAATGTACTCAGAGCACTTACATTAACCTACAGAGGCAAAATTAATACAAATCCTGTTTTATTATAAAGTGTTGAATAGCTCATGTAATTTATGGGAACAATGTCCTGAACATGAAAACAGGATAGTTGTATGGGGACTCAAAGTACGGTTTCTACTGATTGTGCATTGCTTTTGGAACCATCATAAAGTCAAAAACTTCTAGTCAAACCATCATAAGCCCCGGACCATCTGTTTATGAAATGCTCCCTAGGAGCACTATGCCAGATACCATGCCTAAGTGTTTTCTAACTTTATTTACCACATTCAAAAGGAGCCTGTTAATAAAGATGTTTCTGAAATCGTGGAAAGTATTAGTCCTTCCTTTCTTTTGCAGCTGACAGGATTTTGAAAAGAACTGCTAAACCATAAGCATATTTCAGCAGCTGTTTGTTCTTCCTAGTATGAGTTACTTCCTCCCTCTGCCAGCATCGCTTGCATTCTAGTTTGAGAAATATTCAGAAGCACAGTAAATCAGTCTGTTTTCAGAAATTGCTTTGTCTTTGAATGAATATATTTTATAAAGCAGGTTTGCTTTGGCTCCTTAAGATTTGGTTACTTAGAATAAAATCTTCCCAATTTAATAACCAATTTGCATACCTATAAAAATGCATGAATTTTAAAAGCACCTTTAGGATTAAGAGGATTTTATCTGTATTTACAGAATTTAAAGCTGATTACTTCAGCAAGTTTTAGAGCAATTTTAAGCATAGTAGTAAGTCAGGAATCTTAAGATAATACATTATTTAGAAACAAGAATCTAAGGATAATACATTCTCTAGAACCAAATGTGTAAATGGTTAAATGAAGGATGTATTAACAACATGGTCTCAACTGTGGAGGTATCATCATCTTTCAAAGCTACCTGCAAAAAAGGGACAATGTCTTCACTGGCTAGTGAAAAGTAGAAAAATTTAAGAAATTCTCAGCAAATTTCTTATCTTTTAAAATACCCATGGTCATCCCCTAAGAAGGTCAATGTACCTGTCTTTTCTAAAAACAGCAAAAACAACTCTACAGAAAGATATAATCAAGGATTAAATTCAGGTTGATTAATAAGCAAGGAATTGAGTTCATAAGCAATACTACCTCCAGGATTTTTAATTTCTTGGCAGGGATAATAGTGACATTAAAAGCAAGCCTATACTTTCCTAGTAATAAGGAGAAGTGGATTCACAACCAATTTCTGCTTCAAAACACTTCCAAGCATACAACAAATGCCATCCTGAAAGAGGGATTCCCTATTTAATTGTCTCAGTTTATTAGAATATGGATGGTCTTTTCATTCTAGATCACATGCCCTTGTTTGCTTATTTTTGTATAGGAATTATCTTGGACTCTGATAATTCTGGAACTTTACTGATGGCTAAGCGCTGCATATCTTCATTAGATGCCCATTTCCATTCATTCCTTAAAATATTATGAAACACTGTTACAAACAAAAGAATATGTATAGTATAATGTATAATTCTAATATGTATAACACATAGTATAATATAACATTTAATAACATAAAAGTATGATGAAATGACCACCTGTGAACCTGCCGTCCAACCTGAGGAACAGAATGATAGTACTCTTGAAGCCCCGGGTGTCTTTCCTCAATTACCCTGCCTTCCTGAAATACCATATTATGTTGATCTTTTTTTGTAGTTTTGTCACCTTTATAGCTAAGAAAGTATATTCAAAACTTTGTTTTTGAATTTTATAAAATACTATTATATTGCATGCATTCTGCTGCAACTTTCTTTAGGACACCATGAAGATATCTGTACAGAGTTTTGAAATTCATGTAAGTATCTGCACTCTAAAAGTGAATATCTGGCAGAAAAAAATCTCAATGTATTTTATAAACCCTTGAAAGGACCATTTACCTGCTTCACTGTTAACTGGGAACTCCTACAGTTTCCCTTCTTTTGTCCACTGGATCAGCTTTTCAAACCCATTCTGAAGGAGTTGTTCATTTTCTGTGGCTAACTGCTTAGCAAATTCCACATCCCAAAGAGAAGGTCATATGTCTGTATAACAAGACATTTTAAATAGAAACAAGTCAATGTAAATATCTTTTTAAAAAATGTTATAAACAATCCTGAATTGATCATGTATTTTTCATACCTTGACACTCATAATTATAGTATATAATAAAAAGTTACTGAGAGATAACTGCAACAAAAATTAAGACTATGACTAGGCCGGGCACAGTGGCTCACGCCTGTAATCCCAGCACTTTGGGCGACCAAGGTGGGAGATCACCTAAGGTTAGGAGTTCAAGACCAACCTGACCGACATGGTGAAACTCCATCTCTACTCAAAATACAAAAAAATAGGCTGGGTGTGGTGGCTCACGCCTGTAATCTCAGCACTTTAGGAGGCTGAGGCGGGTGGATCATGAGGTCAGGAGTTCGAGACCAGCCTGACCAACATGGTGAAACCCCATCAATACTAAAAATATAAAAAAGAAAAATTAGCTGGGCATGGTGGCATGTGCCTGTAATCCCAGCTACTTGGGAGGCTGAGGCAGGAGAATCGCTTGAACCCAGAAAGCAGAGGTTACAGTGAGCCAAGATTGTGCCACTGCACTCCAGCCTGGGCAACAGAGCAAGACTCTGTCTGAAAAAGAAAATTAGCTGGGCACAGTGGTGGTACCCATAATCCCAGCTACCTGTGAGGCTGAGGAAGAAAAACTGCTTGAACTCAGGGGTAGAGGTTGCCATAAACCAAGATGGGGCCACTGCACTTGAACCTGGGTGACAGAGTTAGACTCCGCCTCAAAAAATATATAAATAAATACATAAATAAAAAAGACTATTAGTATAATAATGACAAGCTTAACTTTGGTTTTACAACAATGCCAGGTAATCACTGCCTCCTCTAATGGAAAAATATATATTTGTATTTTGTTTAAAGGTATTTTTAGGAATATGAATATATATATATTTTTTGAGATGGAGTTTTGCTCTTGTTAGGAGTGCAATGGCCCGATCTCGGCTCACCGCAACCTCCGCTTCCTGGGTTCAGGCAATTCTCCTGCCTCAGCCTCCTGAGTAGCTGGGATTATAGGCATGCGCCACCATGCCCAGCTAATTTTTTTTTTTTTTGTATTTTTAGAAGAGACGGGGTCTCACCATGTTGACCAGGATGGTCTCGATCTCTTGACCTCATGATCCACCTGCCTTGGCCTCCCAAAGTGCTGGGATTACAGGCTTGAGCCACCGTGCCCGGCCGAATATGAATATTTTTGTACAAAATGTGACTTCGTCTTTCAAAATCTAGGCTGTTAATCTTTATTTTTAGTCTATCAAAATTAGTCACTAATATATTACTGTTGACAACCAAAGACGTTACAGCAACAAAATAATAACAATAAAACTGCTAATGATTACCGAGTACTTCCTCTGTGCTCAAATGCTTTTTATGCATTAGTACATTTAATCCTCACAACTAATCCTATAAGTTGGCTAATTACCACCATCAAATTACATGTTTCGATAACCTTTATTAAATGTGTACTATGTTCCAGGCACTGTGCTTGACACTTTTCTCAGATGACCTCATGTAATCCTTAAGATGTATGTACTAACTCTCATTTTATAGGTGGGGAAAGGTTAGTGTGGCAGAATCTGAACTTGCATCCAGTTCTACACAACACCAACACTCTTTCTGTTGAGCTATACTGCCTGCCGATTCAGGGATAACCACTAGGGCCTATGACTATATCCTTTGTAGCAGTGCTAAGAACTTAGTGGGCAAGAAGACTTGGGAATCATGGAACAGAATAACTCATTCAATCAATCAATAAAAGATTACTGAATGCCAACTATATTTCCAGCATTATTTGGGGTGGTAGGAAAACAACTGAACAATTGCTAAATTTAAGTTTCCACACTTTGCTATTCTTATATTTAATTGGGAACAAAAAACATGCTTTAGACTCATGCAAGTATAGCATATTCAAACGGTACCTTCATTAGGGTAAATTAATACATAAATTTGTGTGCTATTTTCCTCACTAGAGTATAATCACTTGATATTGTTTTATAAAATACATAAAATTTAAATGCATCCTTGCCAACTAATTTGTTTTAGAAATAAAATTTTATTTTAAAAAGTAAGCTAGCTTCTTGAAGAATCCAAGTGTCTCTTTTGGCTGGACAACAGCAGCTGCCCTGACAAAAAATACCTTTCTGATGCATGCTTAACAGATATCATTTGAGCAGAGGAGAGGTGATTCCTAGTCCCTATACATTTTGCATATCCCCCCTTTTTTTTTTAAGATATGGAGTCTTGCACTGTCACCCAGCATGTAGTGCAGTGGCGTGATCTGGGCTCACTGCAACCTCCACCTACTGGGTTCAAGCCAGTCTCCTGCCTCAGCCTCCTGAGTAGCTGGGACTAGAGGTACGTGCCACCACACCCAGCTAATTTTTGTATTTTTAGTAGAGATGGGGTTTCACCATGTTGACCAGGATGGTCTCGATCTCTTGACCTTGTGACCCGCTCGCCCCGGCCTCCCAAAGTGCTGGGATTACAGGCCTGAGCCACCAAGGCCAGCCGCATTTCCTTTTTATCATACACAACAGAATGCAATTTTTGTAATACAAGGGGGTTGTTCTTTTAGCTTCACCTTCAGTTCAAATGAATAAACCTTAATTGAATTAACTACTTTCCTTAATAAATGTATTTTTATAGTACAGTTTGTTCAAAAAAGAATTTAAGATTTAAGATAACTAGTTCCTATGATCTGTAAGCCACATGAGTAGATGCTCTAGGGTATACAGACATGAATGAGATCTAGCCTCTAAGAGAGTTTATTAAATAAGAAGAAAATCAGAAGTTCACATAAGTAACTGGTAGAAAGATTAAAGAAGCCATTGGAGGCTGGCCTAGGAACTTATCTAACACATACAACATTTTTTTTCCCTTTGAGAAGGGGTCTCACTGTCGCTTAGGCTGGAGTGTTATGGCACAATTGTAGCTCATTGCAGCATCAAATTCTGGGTTCCAGTGATCCTCCCACCTCAACCTCCCAAGTCGCTAGAACTATAAACATGCACCACTATACTCAAATAATGTTTTATATATTTTTTAGAGAAAGAGTCTCACAATGTTACCCAGGGTGGTCTTGAACTGCTAATCGCAAGCCATCCTGTCATCTCAGCCTCCTAAGTCCATATACAACATAATTTCTATCAAAGTCCAAAAAACCAACTTTAATTCGTTAGAAATCCTCATCACTTAGACTCTGGAGACCATTTTGTATTAAGTTTCTTCATTTATTTTACTAGCAAACTACATTTAATGTAAGCAAGAGGATATTCATTTCTCTTTTAGACTTAAAATGGTAAATTTCTCACCCAAAGAAAAGGGAAAGAATAGAGAGCAAAGACCAACCATGTGCTGAGAAAAAAAAAAAAACACCACAAGTCTGTTAAACAGATTCCTTGAATGTTCTTCCCATCTCCTGAACAATAACACACTGAAGGCACAGAAGCACTGAAGGCACTTCAATAAGTTATTTTATAAATGTTATCTCCTCTTCTAGATAGTAAGCGCCTAGAGGCAGGAACAAGTATATCTTTATGTAATAGCATAGAGATACACTGCAAATGGTAGGTGATTAATAATGTTCTAATCCAAATTAGTAGCTATCTGGACCTCTGGATTAATATAATTGGTAGTACTTACCTTCCATTGTCTCACAGAAGCCAACATTTCAAGGGGGAAACCCTTGAAACCCTGACAACTAACATGTCAACAACTGTAGTGTGATTTGTCCCCCACCAGGTTACTTAAGGGTATATGTATGTTGCTTGAATGCTGAAGGCTGGGCAGGGAGCCATGGCCATAGTGCCTAGCTGAGGAGCAGATGTCCCTGAGAACCTAGGGCATACCCGGGAACAAAACAAGGAAAATAGTCTCATCGGGCATACACAGTAGGCAAACAGCCAGAATGTTAGCTTAAAAGCAGCTTAGTGATAAGAGGCAGGGTGACTCTAGAGCTGCCCAGACATGTCCATTATTTAAGTCCTAGTAAACTCATCTATTCATCAAGCTGTACTTGCCCAAATTTTCTTTGGTCTCTAAATGCCTTTCCAATTTTGGGGGACACTATAGCTCCAAGTTTTCCTTGTAACAACTGCCACATTCATAATTAGGATCCAGGCCAATGGCAGGATGAAATGTTAAAATATCCAACTATTATATCATCAGAACAAACACTAAGGACATCTTGAAAACATGGAGTATTTCTCCACCTGAGAAACAGTTATCCTTTTTTTTTCCCTTTTTGAGATGGAGTCTTGCTGTGTTGCCCAGGCTGGAGTGCAGTGGCGCAATCTTGTCTCACTACAACCTCCACCTCCCAGGTTCAAGCAATTCTCCTGCCCTAGCCTCCCAAGTAGCTGGGACTACAGGCTCATGCTGCCACACCTGGCTAATTTTCTGTATTTTAGTAGAGATGGGGTTTCACCATGTTGCCCAGGCTGGTTGGGAACTCCTGAGCTCAGGCAATCTGCCCACCTCATCCTCCTAAAGTGCTGGGATTACAGGCACGAGCCACCGCTCCCGGCCAAAATAGTTATTCCTAACAAACCTGTTCAGGTGCTTCTTTAGTAACTGCCAAGATGTCAAAAATATTAAGTCTCTTCCCCATGAAAAAAAATTTTAATGAATATATTTTAAACTATCAACAAAAATTATGAGAAAATATTTTAAGTGAAATAATTCTATGTAAAAACTGAAAATAATTCTACTGATCCACATCAAACATCTGAGCTAAACTGCCACATTTTTAGGGCTGATAAACTAAAACAGAAACGTGCACTTAAACTTTTAATTCATAATACAACAAATCAGTTAAAGCAATTTAATTTCCAAAGTATCTAATTGAAGACTAGCTTAATTTGCCATAATTTTTATTTGTTCCCTTTTCTATCAAGGTTTTAAAAACTCCATTTTGTAAAAAACTCTAAAACTCTGCTAAAATAGAAGCTGTTAAAGTCAACATTTGCTTTTAAGGGCAGAACACACTGCCATGATTAATTACAAATTATAATTATAAAAGATCGCATAGGTAAATCACAACATTCCCTCTCATAAAGCAATCATTCTATAATTTTAAAATAATTATCAACTTTCTATACCTGACATTCTAAATTAACTATTGAAATTGATTAATATCAGAGAGTTAATAGGTAACAGTTTCTTGCACAGGTGATAATCAACTGCTTTATGCATCAATTTACATATTTACTTGAATAAACTTGCTGACTGATTAAAATCCAGTTTATAAACTGGAGGGTTAGTTTTAAAAATAATTTTGAATTTTTTTATGGACTAAATTATTTTTCTCTATTAAACAGAACTAAGTCGAAAAAATGCAAATGCCATGTGAAGGTCAAATAATGTGATCTCAAGTCATACAAGCTTTCCTCTAGCAGGTTCCCAAGTCATTTGTAAACAAAGGCTTTCATTTTCCAGAACTTTCTTCAGTGCCTTGCATTCTTCTCCCTCAACTACACATCTGGTGAACGGGATGGTGGATTAAAGCACCTCACAGCAGAGGGAATGCCTTGGTAAAGTACTGAACTTCAAAAGAGGAATGTACAACAAATAAATGGAATGGATGTTTGTTGAGCACCTGCTATGTACCAGATAGTTTATAAGTGTTTCTTTTCTATTGCTCAAGAAAGCCCCCATTTAAGCTCGGTTTCGCTTTCAGCATTTTATAGCTAGGGAAACAGGCTGATGGAGACTATAAAAGGTACCCAGTCACGGAATTAGTTAGTGGCAGTGCCAACATTCTGAGGTAGGCCAGTGTTAACTGCCAATCTTCCACAGTAGGAATCAGTCCAGGCCTGGGTTGTCTAGGGTTGATACCCCAGACACTGCCCGAGTCATACCAGGATCAACAACTTGGCATCTCATCATTGCTTCCCCTTTAGCTGACTTTTTAACACACTGAAGGCACAGAAACCCCTTTCCTACTTGTTTAGCTTCTCCTTTGCGACCTAATTTTTGAAATGTTAAATACCAAATCTAGTATTAAAAATCAAATATGCCATCTCGATGTATAGTATTATATGCAAGATGAATGATTCAGCTAAATATTCTCGAGTACTAACTGATTCCGTTAAATATTCTTTTTTTTTTTTCTGAGACGGAGTCTTGCTCTGTTGCCCAGGCTGGAGTGCAATGACTCAATCTTGGCTCACTGCAGCCTCCACCTCCTGGGTTCAAGTGATTCTCCTGCCGCAGCCTCCCAAGTAGCTGGGACTACAGGCGCATGCCACCACACCCGGCTAATTTTTTTGTATTTTTAGTAGAGATGGGGTTTAACTGTATTAGCCAGGATGGTATCCATCTCCTGAACTCATGATCCACCAGCCTCAGCCTCCCAGTGAAATATTCCTAAGTAAACTCCAAGTACACTTTCTACTTTATTCAGTATGACTATGTAACAGATACTAAACCACTTTAAATTAGTAATTCAAATAATATTCCAAAGTTATCATAAACTCTTGAACTTTCTGTGTTAAATGCTGACCACCTTTTCCAACTTTCCTGTATAAATCAGTAATTTAACACTACGAAGGAGTTAACTCAAGTACCTGATTTCACTTAAAACAAATCCACGGAATATGCAATGTATTGAAAACACTCCAATGTGAGCATATCCTGCTATAAAGACAGGTTAGGCCAGGTGCTGTGGCTCACGCCTGTAATCCCAGCACTTAGGAGGCCGAGTTGGGTGGATCACTTGAGGTGAGGAGTTACCAAACTGGCCAACATGGTGAAACCCCGTCTCCACTAAAAATATAAAAATTGGCCGGGTGCAGTGGCTCAAGCCTGTAATCCCAGTACTTTGGGAGGCCGAGGCGGGTGGATCACGAGGTCAAGAGACAGAGACCATCCTGGTGAACATGGTGAAACCCCGTCTCTACTAAAAATACAAAAAAAATTAGCTGGGCATGGTGGCGCATGCCTGTAATCCCAGCTACTCAGGAGGCTGAGGCAGGAGAATTGCCTGAACCCAGGAGGCGGAGGTTGCGGTGAGCCGAGATCACGCCATTGCACTCCAGTCTGGGTAACAACAGCGAAACTACGTCTCAAAAAATAAATAAATAAATAAAAATAACAAAAATTAGTGGGCATGGTGGCACATGCTACTTGGGAGGCTGTCAAGAGAATCACTAGAACCCAAGAGGCAGAGGCTGCAGTGAGCCGAGATGGCGCCACTGCACTCCAGCCTGGGCGACAGAGCAAGACTCCATCTCAAAAACAAAAAGACAAGTTAATTTTTGTCATACCATGCCAAACATTGGGCTTCTCCTTCCCAAAACCACTTTCAGGGTTTAAAGGAGAGAAAGAGTAGAAACTTTATGTAAATAAAGACCAACTTTAGATTCTAAAAATAACTATGTAAGACATGGCTCAGCATCTTTAAGAACTTCAAATCAGTAAATTCAAATGGCCACAAATCTACCATTTTAAGGAATTATATAAACTTTTTTTCCTTTTACCTTTCTTTTCATTGATGGTGGGTCATTTCTCTAAGATATAACAGAAGATAAGCATGTATATGGATATAAAGGGTAAATGAATACACAATATTAGGCATTTATATTTAAAATGAAAAATAATGTTGCTTATAAAATACTCATTTTTTTCAGAATTCAGTCAGCTCTATTTATTCTAAATCAAAGGACCCCTATTCATTGTGGGTAGATGTGAAGCATGGCCCATTTTGAGTCAATAGAAAAATGCGGGACTGGCTAAATCCAGTACATGGTTCCCTCTATAGGAAGTGGTATATAGAGAGTAAGAACAGTAAGAACACAGATATAAATGCATTCATAATGCTCACATTTCTAACAGCAATAATAGATACACGTAATAAGGTAACTCTATGGTTAAAGTAAAACCTAACTATACAAACAAAACCCAGGCGACCACAAAGCCTGATACCTTTTTCTAAGATCAGCAGTCTTCTCCTGGTCAGGATAATTGTCATAGCCTTGGGCAAACTGAATCTGATGCTCTGTTCTTATACTAACTCTAGGTGTAGCACATCTGGCAACTTTCATATCTGATATTCTGCTACTGAAACCGAAATAACAAAAAGGTCAAATATATTAGAAATCTTAGCTACAGAACAGAAATAAACTTTCTTAAACAGGAGACTGATAATTCTTATTTCATTTTTATACACATTATATAACATAGAAAGTTACATTTAAATTAAAAAGTCATCTATTAACATTCATATAACACAGAACATTACAATTTATGTTTACTTCCACCTTTTAAAGATGTTCTTCAGAAACCTTCATTTGAAACATAAAAGTGTGACACGAAAAATTATTCTGAGAAAATGAAAGTACAATTGGTATCTGCATACCTATCACCTACATTCCATAACTAAATTAAAACCAAGAGGTAGCCATATTTATTTATTGCCTTGTATTGGTTCAAACTCAAACAAAATGAGTCACTGAATTGACAGTCCAGATATTCATTTTTCTTTACAATTTCTTTTAGAGATAGGGTCTCTTTCTGTCACCCAGGCTGGAATGCAGTGATGTGATCATAACTCAATGTGGCCTCAAACTCTGGACTTAAGTGATCCTCCCACCTCAGTCCCCAAAGTAGCTAGAACTACAAGCACATGCCACCATGCCCAGCTAATTTTTATGGTTTGTAGAGATGGTGTCTTGTTTTGTTGCCCAGACTGGTCTCAAATTCTTGGCCTCAAGTGATCCTCTTGACTCAGCCTCCCGAAGTGCTAGAATTACAGGCATGAGCCACCACCCATGGCCATTTCTTTTAACTTCCTGAAATAAATCTAGTACACATTCTCATTGGGAACAACTGATTTAGATCACTCTCCAAAATGAAGTAGTGTTACCACTTAACTACAATGTAAGCAGCAAGTAGTGTAACGTAGTATAAAATAATGAGAGATGAAGAGAGTAAGTGGAAAGGTGTCAGCTTAAACATAAGTAAAAGAAAAAAGAGAAGAAAATAGACCTGAAGATTGCCATACGGTACATAAAACCAGCAAGCTATTAAACTAAAAAAAAATTACTTTTCTCAGAAAAGCTATCTTATTCTGTTATTTATTTTTAATAACATTACTGAATTTATCATTTATTTTTTCATGGACAAGAAACTGTAACTTCCTAAAAGGAAAGTTTAACTGTTCAATTGGTCTCTTAAAACTATAATCTTACTTAAGACATAAGATTTTTAAAAACTTGAATTGCTAAAATTCCACTTATATGGTATATTCTATATGTAAATTTCCACTTATTTGGTATATATTATATATATTACTTACTAGCCATATGAAAATGGTTTATTTTGAGATATAAACATTACTGACCTAATTTTAGGTCTCCATCCATCTCTCTGTGCCCCTGACTCTTCCTCATGCTACTGAGCTGCCTGAGCAGCTCTGGCTTGTTTGCTTGTCAAAAGGGAATAGCAGATGCAGCTGCCACCAACTCGGGACTCAGGGTCTTGCTTCTGAAAAAGAAAATGAAAACAAAATGAGAAAGAAAGAAGAGAGATTGCTTATTATGCCATTAGTTTAGTGAAAAAGGTAAGATGATTTTTGGGGGAAAACTTTCTGTTGTGCCAAAAAGTATCATTCAATTCAATTTCTGACAAAAGCAAGAATTCTCAACTATTAGGTACCAGTTTTATATAAACTTTGAAATGTTAAACTTTAAAATTAACAGATACTTGCTGAAGCACAACACTAACTCAGAACAATATATTAAGGTGGAGGGCCAAGGGATCAGCCTCAAATATTATAAATTAGTGGAATTTTCAATTAGATGCTATTGTATTTCAAAAACAATATAAACTGCAAGCAAATATAAAGGCAGCTTGACCTGTTCAGAGAAGCTTTACTCATAATAACCCCAAACTGGAACCAACCTAAAGGTCTATTATCAGAATGAAAAAGACAAATTGTGAGATAGCCAAACAATGGAAGAATACTCAGCTCATGACAACATGAATGACTTTCATAGACATTAGATCAAGTGAAAGAAGTTGAACACGGAATATATTCTGTATGATTCCATTTCTATCAAGTTCCAGAACAGGCAAAACTAATCTGAGGTGAAAAAACAATCAAAACAGCAATTGCTTCAGGACAGAAGGCTACTGACTGGGAAGGTGAAAATGGGAAACACAGTGTCTTGTTAAGTGTGTGGGTCACATGGGCTTATCCATTTGTCAAAACCCTCCAGCTAAGATTTGTACACGTTAATGTATGAAAATTTTACCTGGAAAAAAAAAAAAAGCCACAAATCACTATCAAGTAGGAGATGGAAATTTGTTGAAAGATAGATAATACAAGAATGGCAAAATGTTGATCACTGTTGAAGCTGAGTGACAGTACAAAATCATCATACCATTTTGTGTTCTTCGCATATATTTAAATTTTTCATAAGAAAAAAAGCTTTTAAAGCTTCCTAAATAAATTAGAGCAAGTTAATTAAAAAAAACATTCTATTATAAAAAGAAAGCAAATTATATACAACATTTTTTCCTTTTTTTTTTTTTTAAAGAGATGAGATTTCAATACATTATAGAGTCTGACCTTGAAGTCCTGGGCTCAATCAATCCTCCCACATCATCTTCCTAAGTAGCTGGGACTACAAGCACCTGCCACCATACCTGGCTATTTGCAACATTTTTTTTTTTCTTTTTTTTTGAGACGGAGTTTTGCTCTTGTTACCCAGGCTGGAGTGCAATGGTGCGATCTCGGCTCACCGCAACCTCCACCTCCTCGGTTCAAGCAATTCTTCTGCCTCAGCCTCCCAAGTAGCTGAAACTACAGGCGTGCACCACCATGCCCAGCTAATTTTTCTTTATTTTTAGTAGAGTCGGGGTTTCACCATGTTGACCAGTATGGTCTCAATTTCTCGACCTTGTGGTCCACCTGCCTGGGCCTCCCAAAGTGCTGGGATTATAGGCATGAGCCACCACACCCAGCCTATTTGCAACATTTTTACACTCACTGAGAACTGACATCTCAATAAGTGGGATCCAAATTAATATATTATTATGACTGGCTTTCTATATTACCATCTATTACCTGATATGCAAATGAACGTTCCAAATTCCTAAAGTTCTTGGAGAAAGATTTTAAGGACTTAACTAGGATATGGAAGATCTAAAATCTGATAGAAATAGAAGAAAAATGGAAGAATGAAACAAGGTTGAGTGTAGTGGCTCATGCCTGTTAATTTCAGCACACTGGGAGGCGGAGAAGGGAGGATCATTTGAGCCCAAAAGTTCAAGACCTGCCTAGGCAACATGGTGACACCCCGTCTCAACAAAAAGAAAAAAAAATTGCCGGGAGTGGTGGCATGCGTCTATAGTCCCAGCTACTCGAGAAGCTGAGTGAGAGGATCAGTTGAGCCTGGGAGATTGAGGCTGCAGTGAGCAACGACTGTTCCACCACACACAGCGTGGGCCACAGAGCAAGACCCTGTCTCAAAAAAAAAAAAAAAGAAAGAAAGAAAAAGAAAAAAGGAAATCTAACAGTTAAAATGAAATGTGCTTTCAGAACTGTTATCGGTGAATAAAACTTTAACCTTATTCCAAGTCATTGTTATTTCTTTCATAAACTGCTTATAAACTTCATTTTCAAATTTTAATATACATATTTGACCAGAGTATGCAAAGAACATAGATGAATATTCATTTTCTAGAATCTTACATTTTACAACAATGGTTTCCTTCATAGTTATAGTCTCTGGCGTTATAATTTATAATTCCCAATGTAAATTGTGGGGAGCCTGTGTTACTGATTAAGATAATTTTCACATACAGGATCTTTCTTCATATATTTTAACAATGTAATGAGAACTTGTTAAAGTAGCTTTTCGGCTGTGCAGTGGCTCACACCTGTAATCCCAGCACTTTGGGAGGCCGAAGCAGGTGAATCACCGGAGATCAGGAGTTCAAGACCAGCCTGGCCAACATGATGATACCCCGTCTCTACTAAAAATACAAAAAATTAGCTGGGCACGGTGGAGGGCATCTGTAATCCCAGCTACTCAGGAGGCTGAAGCAGGAGAATTGCTTGAACCCAGGAGGCAGAGGACGCAGTGAGCTGAGATCACGCCACTGTACTCCAGCCTAGGCAGAGTGAAACTCCTTCTCAAAAAGTAAAAAAGTATCTTTTAACAATCTATTCTATCCTGTAATTAAGACTATTTCTCGGCCAGGCGCGGTGGCTCACGCCTATAATCCCAGCACTTTGGGTGGCTGAGACGGGTGGATCATGAGGTCAAGAGATCGAGACCATACTGGTCAACATGGTGAAACCCTGTCTCTACTAAAAATACAAAAATTAGCTGGGCATGGTGGTGCGCACCTGTAGTCCCAGCTACTTGGGAGGCTGAGGCAGAAGAATTGCTTGAACCCAGGGGGCAGAGGTTGCGGTGAGCCAAGATCGTGCCATTGCACTCCAGTCTGGGTAACAAGAGCAAAACTCAGTCTCAAAAAAAAAAAAAAAAGACTATTTAATGAATATACATACTTTTCCCCTTCAAAACTTTTTTTTTTTTGAGATAGGGTCTCACTCTGTTGCCCCGGCTAGAGTACAATGGCACAGTCTCGGCTCCCTACAATGTCCACCTCCCAGGTTCAAGCGATTGTGCCACCTCAGCCTCCTGAGTAACTGGGATTATAGTCCCATGCCACGACACCCGGCTAATTTTTGTATTTTTTTGGTAGAGACAGGGTTTCACCATGTTGGCCAGGCTGGTCTCAAACCCCTAACCTCAAGTGATCTGCCCACCTTGGCGTCCAAAGTGCTGGAATTACAGGCATAAGCTACCACTCCCGGCCCCTCCCAAATACTTTTAAATCATCTGTAGATTACTTATAATACCTAACATAAATGGTTGTTATACTGTATTTTTAATTGGTATTTTTTTCTGTGTATTTTAAAAAATATATTATTTTTTTATCAGAGGTTATCTGTGGCTGCAGAACCTGTGCATACAGAGGGCCAACTGAATACTGCTCAATTCCTATCAATGGCATTATATCCTTGTCAAGATGGTTTCTCAGAAGTGGTTGTGGTAAAACCAAGTATCTGAGGAGAATCAATGTGGGACAGGGGTGAACATGGTAATGTCCAATCTTATTACAAGGCTAGGTCATTAAAAAGAAAATACAATTTCCTCTTGGCTCATTTTCTCTTGAGACACCCGCCCCCACCCCCGGCACCCAGTCACCATGCAGTGAGAAAGCCCAGGCCACAAAGAAAGCCACATGTTGGTGTTTCTGCTAACACCCTCAGCCAAGGTCTCAGCTGACAGCCAGCATTAACTGCCAGACCTATGAGTGAGCAAACTTCAGATGATTCCAGCCTCAGACTCCTAAGTCCTCCAACTGAGGCCCCAGATGTCACAGAGCACAGACTGGCCTTCCCCACTGTTCTAGCCAAATTGCTAACCCACAGAATCTGTAAGCATATGAGTAAATGTTTTATGCCACTAAGTTTGGGAGATAGTATAGCCAGGGAACAGTATCAATGGGGATTTAATATGTAATACAAAGAAAGAAAAGCAGGCTATGTTTAGGGCTAAGGGCCCCACAGGGTTGTGGGGTGTCCCCTATGCTGCGCTGGGGTGCAGGATCTGACAAACAAAGAGACAGGACACAGAAATACAAGGAAAATGCAGCTGGGCTCGGGGGGCCACACCACCAATAGGCAGACAGGCGAGGCCCTGAATGTCCAGAAGGGTCTGTATTTATTATGTATAGGTTAGGGGGCAGGGTCATGAGTGAAGTCATCTTTAAGGATAGGGATAGGGTCGTGAGCAATAAAATAAAGTGTCCACCCCCATTAGGTCACCTAGTCTAGGAGGTGAAGAGTGTGCAGCAAGGGGTCCATTCCCATTAGGTCACCGAGGCATGGAGGTGGGCTGTGCACAGTGAAGAGGGTGCAGTGGGCAATACGTCTATCTATGCACGTGCTACTCCTAAGATTTATAGGAGGATGCTTAAGTCCACAGCAGTCAAACAGCTGTCAGGGTCTATCGCCACCTGCTGGCAGCTTCCAATGAGTTCTATAGGAAAATGCTTTTTAAGCAGCACAGTAACAAAAGATGATAAAGTTCACAGTCACCAAGGTGCGATTATCGGGAGGGGTTTTGAGCCCTCGATGCTCGATGCTCAAGGGATTGTCGGTCTGAGGGCAGCCTTCCACAAGAACTGGGGCAAGGTCCTACAACCTTTAACAGGAGGAGTGGCTCTTGCCCCAAGCCTGCCATACAGCAGGTATCTTTACAATACTGAATGCTGCCGCCTGGGCCATGGATTCTTGTCCTAGAATAACTGTTTTTCCCTAAATCATGCTCTGCACTGTGTCTGCTCCAGACATTCCTCCAACTATAAGCTGCTTATTCCTTAATTCATGCTCTGTACCATGTCTACTCTAGGCATTTCTCTGATTATGAATTAAGATATATATATATACATATATATATGTA